GTGCACACTTCTGCCCACACATACTGAGACATGCAGTATCAAAAACACAGTAAAATAAAATGGCTTTTGGCTGAATTATGTATCATAAGGGCAATGTGAGTGGGAAATGCCGAAGATGTGAGCTGTCTTCTCCACATCCTCTTATTATGTAACGTACATTTGTGTGTGGCTTGGAAATGTACAGTAACTTCTACATTATATGAAGTTATAATTAATTCTAAATGCTCCTCTAGGTCAAGCTGCCTCTATATTTTTATGAAAACACATCACTGTTATTGACATAGTTAACCTAGTTGTTTATTATAATAATTAATACCTTCAAATAATGTGAGCAGCCTAGATTCATCATTGCCTATAAAACTATTAAAAATCATTTTGCTTTTTATAAGCTGCGTTTAATTTGCTCTCATCATCCACACCATCCAGCATTGGTTACTCATTTCTTCCCCTCCTTCACAGGATGGCTTTACCCCTCTGGCAGTGGCCCTCCAGCAGGGCCATGACCAGGTGGTCTCCCTGCTATTGGAGAACGATACAAAGGGCAAGGTGCGCCTACCTGCCCTGCACATTGCCGCACGCAAGGATGACACCAAGGCCGCGGCCCTGCTCCTGCAGAACGACCACAACGCAGACGTCGAGTCCAAGGTGAGCAAAAACGCTGATGCAGCCCATCTTTGGTAGTGAATGATCAGTTGGTCTCTTTCTTTTTGCCTATTTGATTATTTGTTTTTAACACTGATTTCTTTGGTTTTCTTGATTGTCTTTTTTTTTCCTGCTGCCTTTTCTCTTTATTGTTTGAATTTGTTGTTGATGCTCTTTCTTTCGGAAAAGAAGCAGAAGTACATTCCTGTTTGTTTTTTGGCCAGTTTTATCTCTGAAAAGATTTGAGTTTGAGAATATCCTTCTCATTCTTAAACTCAAACTTCAAGTAAGAGCGCAGTCTGCACACCGAAACTTTTCTGCCGTAGATTATTTTTCACTGAGCTGCCTCTCCCTCTTCTGCTCCTCCACTTCATGTGAGTGAAGGCCCTTTTTAATTTGGTTTTTTTTTCTCACTAATTGCCCGTTCTCTCCTCTCTTGGCTGACTCTGTAGATGATGGTGAATAGAACAACAGAGGTACACCTCTACTCTGTACATTATGTAGTGTTCATCCTATTCATAAAAACTCTGAAAACAACAGCGACAATCACTTCAGTGCCCCTGACTTGATGCAGTAGTGTTTCTGCAGCCCTCTGTCACTCCCCCTTTTCCATTTTAGCTCAGTACTGCCTTCTTCCTTTTCATTGCTTCATCAATCTAGTGGATATATCTGGTCATTGAGAAAATCAGAGCTAAAGCGCATGCTTCACAAATACTGATTTAATAAATCTGAGGCTAAAGGCTTGGGTATCAAGGTTTTCCTTGATTCTAATGGTTTCATGGTGTCCAAAGCTGAAGTGTCTTATTTTTGGAAATCCCTTGTCACTGTTTAAAATATGTTGTCTTAATGTGTCCTGACTAAGTCCCTCCATGAAACTGATTAGCATGATAACCAGTGTACGCATGAAAAATGGTTATCATTCATTTGAAACCAGCAGTTTGTCCATAACTTGCATGGCAGTCTAATTCCCTTTACACTCTAAAGAACCCCTGCATTCTAGCATTAGTCAGGCTCTCTAATTTGTTTACCGGTGTATCCTTTATTGAGCTCTAGTACATCCAATATTCAACACTCACACCTAAAGCATTTTGCATGGGACCAAAGTAACAAGCTAGTGTGACACTGCGTCTGTGGTAACATTGGCCCCTTTTTTAAACCAAAGCCAGGTGGCCACCTTCTGTGCGTGCCTGTTTTGGTTGGCATTGTTTGTGGTTTTGGCAGGCTCTGATATGATTCATCCAAAAATGGCTTTGATTTCAGACTTATGCATTGCGTTAAACAAATGTGTACTCAGATAGAAGAAAGACACTGTAATCTGTTTTATATGAATAGTGTGTTTTTTCAAGGCAGATATAAATCATTTTAATTTTGGTGAACTTTGTGGTACGATTTCTCAGTTCAGGATATCGGTGGGGACACGTGTCTGAATTACTGATTGACTTTTGGCTCTTTGAAATTAAAATTCCAGCAGTTGGATTGTTTAATGTAAGACATAAGGTCACAGATATTTTCCAGTGTCTTTTAGTTGCTCCGACAGCTAATCCAGGAGTTATATCAGGATACATCTCTCATTGAAGATGTTAACAAATGGAGATTAAGTTCATTTGCAGGGTGATTATTTGCAGCTAAAAATATCAGAATGCTGTAAATAGAATTAAACAGATTTACACCAGTTAGCTCTTGATCTTTCAAATCAAGTTGTATATTACACTCACATCTTTGTAATTAGTTTTTTGTCAGTTAAATGTAAAATTGTTATATTTTAGTTGGGCCCATGTTTGATTCTAACAGTTTTAGAAAAAATAGACTTTTTCTGCAACTGTTAGAAAAGTCAGGTGTCAGTGTAGCAGTGTGCAACCAGTGTGTCCTTGTTTGATGTAGTGGGACTTTGTAAAGCCAGATGTTTGATCTTGTGTGAATGTTGCTCCACTGTTTTTTTAACATGGTGTGTCTATTTGTCTGTCTGCACGTGTGTTGTTGCATTTCTTCAATCCTCAGAGTGGTTTCACCCCCCTCCACATCGCAGCGCATTATGGCAACATTAATGTGGCCACGCTTTTGCTGAACCGCGGAGCTGCTGTGGACTTCATGGCTCGGGTGAGTTTCTACTGCCCTCTGCTGGTTGGGAAAGGTGTAACCATTACACACAATAAATATGAATATGGTATACGGGTATATTTAATGGATTAAAAAAAAAACTATGAAACGGTAAAACAAAAGTATAGCTTAGCTTTTATGGCAGAGGAAAATCACTTTGATTTCCCAAACATCTGTCACATTTATGCTCCTTGAAAGCAAAAGCAAAGAATAAACTTATATTTTGCATGTAAACCCTTCAGCAAAATAGGATGGACTGAAAATATCGGTGTCAAATGTGGGATTTTTTTTTTACATGAATTCTGTTTGTGGACTTTTCATTGATAGGCGAATGCATATTTTGTTTACTCAAGGGAAAAAAATAACAGTGAAACCCAAACCACCCACACACAAACTTTAATGTCAAGTCAAGTAGAGTTTTATTGTCAACCCAACAATATACACTCAAGTATACAGTGGGACGAAATATCATCCTCTTGGATCAAAGGTCAAAATGTAAAAATCAAAATGAAATAAATTCAAATATGCATTTATACAACTATACAGAAATAAGATAAACTAAGAATAAATACAACAGTACTGGACTTGAATAGAAGAGAATGAATGAATAGAAAATAATGAGAATGAATATAAATAAATACAATAGTACACATACAGAATAGCGCAAGTATTGGAAGTAATGTTGGTACGATGAAGCCTAATTTATTTGTGTTCATTCCCATAAATATATAGGTATTCAGTGGTAAAGAGAAAGAGATTCCTGGATTAATAAAGACCCTCATGAAATGGGAGACTTTTTAGAACAATGGGACATTTGTTATATATGTATCTGTTATGTTATTCTCAGACTGAATTCATATTTTTTTGAGATATGATTAAATATAAAGACCTGGAAGAGATTTTATGTGACATATACAGAGTAATCTCAGTGATGTTGTCTTAGAAAATGGGTTTCCATATTAGATGTTTACCAATCAGAGTGATCAGTGGCCTATAAATGAATCAGCTAGTGTGTGAAGCAGTGTTTGTGTTTGTGCTGCTTTTATACTGATTACAGGTAAGGTCCAGAAAATTATCCACCAGCAGTGGTGGATGGTTAAACAATGGAGCTGGTTTACAGCTGTTTGCTTGAGAGCAACAAAGCATTACAGTCTGTTGCAGACTAGTCAGTTTCATGACGAGTTTCTAATGAATTAATTCTGTCTAATTGTAGATATGTTTAAATGCATAATGTGAGAGCAGAACCGTCTAAGAGTTTTCCACTTTTTCACTTAGAATGACATCACACCGCTTCATGTGGCCGCAAAAAGGGGCAACAGCAATATGGTGAAGTTGCTGCTGGACAGAGGGGCCAAAATTGATGCAAAGACCAAGGTAAGACTTTTTTCACAATTAGAAAGGCACTTGAGGCTGAAATATATGTTTTTTAGACTTACAGAAGTTTTTGTCTGTAGCAGTATTTGATTTTGCACAAACTGAAGTTTATTAAAATTATTTTACAGTAAAATGCAAATTTAAAAAAGTATTTCATTTTGTTATTTTGTTCTTTTAAGGACGGTCTGACACCTCTTCATTGTGGGGCACGGAGCGGACACGAGCAGGTGGTAGAAATTCTTCTGGACAGAGGAGCTCCTATACTGTCCAAGACCAAGGTAGTTACTTGGATGATCAATTCAGGAGATGCTGCTAAGCTCAGAATAGGGAAGAAAAGAAAGTTCACAAACACATGACATCTTTTTCATTAAGTTAAATATAAAACAGACCAGAATAGATCACTATACACGATGTTAATAACACTGGAATACCTTTGTTTTCAAAATCAGCTCTCCTAACCACTCGGAGCTATTTAAATAATTGTCATCCACTCACATAGCAGGTCTGTTGTTGTTGCTGTAGTGTTGTCGCATTGTCTCCATAACATCTGTGCGACCTCTCCAGAACAGCCTGTCTCCGCTGCCTTCGCAGCCCTACAGTTTGACCGCGCAGGACGACCAGTGTAACAAAATAGACATTGTTGTAATGGCCTCGTTATAACAATGCTTCTGTAACCTTCTCAGCAACTTCCTTCGCAGTCTTTCTGTGCAGCGCATGGCCGCGTCCTAACTTACTGTGTCTGTCTGTCCATCTGTCTATGTGTCCGTCTGCGTGTGTGTTTGTCGCTCTCTTTCTTTGTCTGGCTCTCTCTTTCTCTCCCCTTTTCTCTCTTTCTTTCCCTGTCTCGGCCCTGTATAGAACGGCCTATCGCCTCTCCACATGGCCACTCAGGGGGACCACCTGAACTGTGTCCAGCTCCTGCTCCAGCACGACGTGCCCGTGGATGACGTCACCAATGACTACCTTACGGCGCTGCACGTTGCTGCCCACTGCGGTCACTATAAGGTGGCCAAGCTCATTGTGGACAAGAAGGCCAACCCAAATGCCAAGGCTCTGGTAGGGATAAAGCCGTACAAGGGGTGTTAAGAATGGGGGTGCAAAACAGACAAGTCACGTGATCGTGACAAAAAAAATCACGTTCAAGAAATACTGAAATGTTGATGTTGGTAGGCGTTAGTCACCAAAAGTTTTGCTTTTATGATTAATATTATACTCATAGAAAAAATAAATGGTTTGGTTTGGGTAGCTTTACAGTGCAGAAGACTTAGCACTATAATATAAAGTTTTACTGTGTCTGTCTATTTTCTGATAGTTTTGTCTGTGTTGGATTTTTTGTTGTTGTTGTTGTTTTTTAATGATATGGACTATTTTTGTGTGAAATAAATAGATATGTGCTGATATGAATGTTTAAAACAGGACTGAAAACAGGTTTATTCCTCATATTTACCTTTTCTTTACCACACATTTGCATCCTGGCACATCTCAGCATTCACTCATTTGCACATGTTTAGAGGCTGTGGGGAGTTTCTCAGTGATCGTACTGGAATACCAGCCTTAGCTTTACACTTTCTCTTCATGCAGAATGGTTTCACTCCGCTTCATATCGCCTGCAAGAAGAACAGAGTCAAGGTGATGGAGCTGTTGCTTAAACATGGAGCGTCTATCCAGGCTGTCACAGAGGTAATAGAGCAGACTGGAACACCTTTACTCTTCTGTACCATTTAATACATAATAATTACTTGGAATTGATCTTATTGTTGTTTGGTTTTGATGTTCAGGATAAAATTTGGTTGCTGATTTGGTCTTTAGTGTTTTAATGTTTCATGTTGATCATCGTATCTGTTATCTGCAGTCCGGCTTGACGCCCATTCATGTGGCAGCCTTTATGGGCCATGAAAACATTGTCCATGCGCTGACGCACCACGGAGCTTCGCCCAACACCACCAATGTGGTAAGTAGACTAATTTTAATGTACTACATGTCGATACAGATTAGAAAATCTCCCTTTTGCCAACAACCTTTGTATCTTCCAGCGAGGAGAGACAGCTCTCCACATGGCAGCCAGGGCAGGCCAGGCAGACGTAGTCCGATACCTGCTAAAGAACGGAGCCAAGGTGGAGACCAAGTCCAAGGTTAGAACACAGAGCGTCATTATCAATCACTGTGTCAAGGAGAAAACAAAAAGGGATACAGAACTGGGCCAAAAAGTCACTTCCCCTCTCTTTGCAGGATGACCAGACAGCGCTGCACATATCCAGTCGGCTGGGGAAGGTCGACATTGTCCAGCAGCTGCTGCATTGCGGTGCGTCTGCCAATGCTGCCACCACCTCAGGCTACACCCCCCTTCACCTGGCTGCCCGCGAAGGACACCATGATGTTGCTGCCATGCTCCTGGACAATGGTGCCTCACTCTCATCTGCAACAAAGGTATGTCTTGTAGACGTTTAAGCATTATATTGCAATGTAGATAATGTTCCCATTTTCCAGTATCTCCACTAGTAGGCATGGTTTTGTTTCAAGTGGCCTCCAAGGTTCTTGTCATATGAAATAAATGCCTAAATACGTCCTTCTCCCAGCAAAAGAATTCATAGTCTAAGCATACTAAACTGACTAAACTGACACACAGATCTGACTAATTGCATAAAAGTGCATTGCTCGAAGTATAAAATGGGTGTGGAAGATGTGAGTGTGATATGTGTCTGTGGACTGTCTTTGAAGGTGACTTCTGTTAGCAGAGCAGATTAATGAAGGGTAAACCCCATGGTGGGCTCTTACTTCCTCACACACACACATATAGCATCTTTTGGGACTTTACCTTAGTCGGCTTTTCAAGCAAATGATATCATATCTGTGTGAAAACAGAAAATTTGTGCCATCGAGCAGATTAATTGACCCCTTTTAGGTGTTTATAAAGCAGATTAAATGAATAGAAATTTAAAAACTGGCACGATTACTACTGTCACACAAATGAGGTCAAGTGTTTCAGAGAAAATGGGAATCTGTGGAGTCCCACATTCCTCTGGAAAATATGATCTAATGTCTTTAAATATCTTTGCATACACACAGGAAGGAAGCCAAGTGATCACACTGGCAAATCAAACCCAGCATCACAGCAAAACGTGTAATAGACATGCATTTGCCTCAAGAGATAGTAAAGACCTTTGCCTTACTTTCTCAGTGTAATGAACCCCTATGGAGAGAAAATTACTCATGCACAGACAATACTCATTTGTAAGTTATTTTGCATTTGAGTGTTGTTAATAAAGTGAATCCATCCTAATTTAAATATGGCTAAAATATAACTTTATTGAAAATGTTTTCACAATGTTGAACTTTTTAACCTATTTGGACTGTAATGTTCGGTGTCCTGTGTCTTATGAAGGAAAGAGATGTTGCTCTTAAGATCAAACTTTCTGTTTTGTTCAGTCTGAATAACACAAAATCTTTGCTGCTGCTGTTTTGTTTTCATTTGTGACTTGAGCACTGAAAGACAGTGAGAAACTATGTTGCTTAAGGAAAAGCTCGATCCCACACCAGCCAAGTGGGACCTAAAATAATGCAAATATTCACTTCCTGTTTAAATACCCTCACTACTCCCTGCTCTCCCTTTTTTGGCCCAGCAGAAAGGATTCAGTCCCCTCCATGTGGCAGCAAAGTATGGCAAGATGGAGGTAGCCAGTTTGCTCCTACAGAAGGGAGCTGCACCTGATGCTGCTGGAAAGGTGAGATGTCTGAAAAGGCGGAGAGTTTCTGAGTATAAATTTAAGAAACAGAAAAAGATGACCTGTTTAAGACGAGCAGGCAGGTTCAGCAAGGAAATGACAGACAGCAAAAGTGCAGTATAAACCTGAAATTCCTAATTTCATGTCCTCATCTCTAAGATAGTCAGCAGGGCTGTGTTGTGTTTTCTGAGCTGCAGCTGGCCCAGATGCTGGGAGGTAGTAGTGTGGTGGAAGCAAGCTGAGGTCTGATCACAGTGCGACACATCAAACAGATGCTTGTCCTGTTGCAAAAACCTTGTAGGCAGATTTCTTTTATTCCACTGAGAGAGACTTAAATAGCTGAGACCTGCTGGCACTAGTCGTATGTGCATCTTTGCCAACATCTGAAAGCGTTTAACATAAAGACTGTCAGATATGATAATGAAACTTCCACAGTGTCTGGTGGTGTCACGCTAAAATCTGCCTCAGTGTCAGATACACAAAGAAGAAAATCAGGTCGTTATTATTATAATACATTTTATATCAAGATGAAAATAAAGACTTTAAGATATTATATGGGTTTTTTATATATTTTGGTAGAAATAATGAGTATGTCACATCATATGCCGCCCTGTTTGATCACTCTGCGTGTGCGTTTTGATGAGAAAACATTGTAAAACACTTTTAGAGCCTAGGATTATAAAGTACTCCATATATACAGACCATTATTTACATAATGCCTCCATCATCTAACTCTTATAGAAAGTATTAAGACAATGACATGACCTTGAAATTCTCTTTATGGAAGGTTGTTGTTAGTGAGCCACACTGTGTGGAGGCCTGGTTGGGGGACACGTCCTATGATAGAGTAATTTCGAGCACGGTTTTGTGGTTTAACATGAGTGATGCAGACCCTTTAATCTCCCACTTGTGTCGATGGATACACTGAGAAATCTTGTCTCAAAATATATAATTTGAACAACTAGTGGCAGATAAGCACATGCTTTTGGTTAAAAAAAAATTATTAGATTCAGTTTTCTGATCACATTTTAAAATAATAACTAGACCTTGCTGCTTCTGCTGTTGGTAAACTAATACTAATCCTTCTTCTGCTGCTATAAAAATAATGCTTTAGTCACATCTTTGCTGGCCAGTGAAAAGTGTGTATCTTCAGTTTTGGTGCTTTTGCACACTTGAGATGACTTTAGCATGTTTTGACATGGCTATTGAATTCCAAATCAAAATACTGTAGCCGTTGTAGATAAGTGCTGCAAAGTCAACATTTTGAAGATACATTGAAATCTATCAGCAGGCCAGCAGGAAAATTCTCTCACTCAGTTTCCTAATAATGCCATCTACCTTTAGCGCATGAAGTTAGAGCTCTAACCGTCTCCTATACTTTGTATCTTTCATCGGTTCGATGCCCATCTCTAAAAATTTCTTAACACAGTTTTCATTTGGCTCTTTCATTTTACTTATCAGCGTGTCTGTGCTTGGGTGTGGTCGGTGATCTCCTAATCCCGTGTTGTGTTGCATGCCTGTGTGTGTGTGGATGTGTCTCTGCATTTGTACGTGTGTGTGTGTGGATGTTTTAGAGTGGGCTAACTCCTCTGCATGTAGCTGCTCACTACGATAATCAGAGAGTGGCACTGCTGCTGCTGGATCAGGGAGCTTCCCCACACGCTGCCGCCAAGGTATCCACACAGACACATATCAATACACGTGTTAAGAGGAACTCACCTGGCTTATCACTTACGTAACATCCCATTAATAATGATTTATGTGTAATATTCATCGGTGTGAATGTGGATCTAATGCTCGCCCATTTCCTCCATCCGTTTCATCATTTATCAGTGAAAGTGTGAGTTTTATTTTGTGCTCAGTCAAGTCTTACAAACCACCTGACCAGCCTGAAATGAGGTCATGCTGTCAGCAGATTTGAGTTGCTGGTTTGCTACATATTGCAAGCAATATACTGTGTTTCTCCTAAAAAGAAGAAATGTAATTACTCCAGAGTCAGTATTAGTGCCAAACCACTAAAATTTCCTTTTTTTTTTGTCTGTTCAAGAGTTGAGAAAATGATGTATTCCCAATAAAACCTAAAAAAAAAAAGCTGTTAAGTTAGACAGACAAACATAAGTGGTCAAGTCATGGTTTGTCTCCTGCCAGGCTTTAAGAGTCTGTCGAAACCGCAGAACGAGTGTGAGCAAAAAGCCAGAACCAACCAAAAATGTGGCAGGAAATGCCTGTTTTGCCTGGACTGTCAAGTGACATGCCACAAAGGGAGACCAAAGCTTGCAAAGCCACTTTGGTCCATCCTAGCTCTCTTTCTCTCCCTTAATCTGCGTCTGTCTAAATTTATTCCTTTGCCTTTCTTGTCGCCTTCCCACACTCATTCTGTCCTGCCTTCTTCCTTTCTCTCTTTCTTTCTCAAATTGTTTTTCATTTGGCTGGGTTCTAAAGTTAGTGTGCTTGATCTAATTTAAGTGCTTTTGGAAACAAATCAATCAGTGTGTACAAGAGGAGTTGTATAGAGGCGCTAACACAGATACACGAGTAGGGTTACTATTGCAGTTATTGCTGCAATAGTTCCCTGCAGTACCATAATCTGTGCTCCGTGTGTGATGTTTTTCTACTTAGTGATGGAGATAGAAAAAAATGGATTTTGACTTGAAGTATAAGTCTTGCTTTACACAGTGTAGTAAATTAAATCAAAGAAGGAAGCCAAGTTAGGCTCTGTAAATAGAGGCTCTTCCCTCTTCCAAACTAACCTTATCCTTTTACTCACTCTCATTTGAGCTAGAATTACCTTCTCCCTTGCAGACCTCAAGGCTACCCAGAGGTTTGAATGTAGCCCTCCTGCTACTTTGTAATGTTTTCTCTCAGGTCCTCTCCTCCACAGTAGCAAAAAGGAGGAAGCCAGGGTGGTGACTGTTCACGTTTAAGTTGCACTCCTGTTTGTACACTTTGTCTCTAGCACTTTCACTGTTGTGAATGTGTGTAACAGCTGAGGTCAACCTTCTGTCTGAGGTTTTCCCATCAGTTTTACCTGTGATACGTTAGGCTGGCCACACTAGCCTCATGACTGTCAATAAGTTGAAAGACCCTTGTGCTGTAAGTTTGTTTTCATGACAAACTGGATTATACGTCCTGATGCAAAATTACAACATTTTTAATCAAAGCTGTATCCTGATTTTCAGCTGCATCTATCATGTAATAGATCTTTAGTTTTGTAGATAAAATGAAAATTACTTTTAGACACACCCTTCAGCCCTGCCCATAGTTTAAGTTTTACAACCATAGAAGAGCTCGGTCCAGCCTCCTAACCTCTACGCCTCTCTTGCGGACCTTAGAACGGCTACATGCCCCTTCATATCGCTGCCAAGAAGAACCAAATGGAAATTGGGACCACACTGCTGGAGTACGGTGCAGACACCAATGCAGTGACGCGGCAAGGCATCAGCCCAATTCACCTTGCAGCACAGGAGGGCAACGTGGATCTGGTGTCACTGCTGCTGACCAAGAACGCTAATGTCAACGTGTGCAACAAGGTAGAATCTGTCACATAGCTCTAGTATTTATACAGGAACTACTACAAATGTAATTAAGCTTACACATGTATATGGCCCACAATCCTTCATACCCAGTAGACAAACACTTGTCATGATTTTTGCCATAACACATTAGACTTCTCAAACAAGTTTTCTGAAAAACACCCTACTTTTCATTCTTCTTCTGCACACCCACCCTAATAAATGTAATTGTGGATTTGCATGTTTTTCTCCTTTTTTCATATACAGAGCGGACTAACACCACTCCACTTAGCAGCTCAGGAGGACAAGGTCAATGTTGCTGAAGTCCTTCTCAATCATGGGGCTGATGTCAACCCACAAACAAAGGTACAACTTTCTCAGATGACTTCTTGCACACATGGGAAAACTGTAAATACTTGAGTAGGCAGGTTTGCTGCATATTTATACTTTTTTAACTTCCATCAGTTAATTTGCTTTATGTGCTTATCCTGATTTTCCTCTTTAGCTTAACACGCTCATACACTCACTTGTCTGCCGACATCTCAGTTGCTGCATAAATAAAGGATTGTTACCTGAGTAGAAGGTGATCATGTTGTTATGGATGCAGCAAACACATTCATGCACATAATCACGTTCACTAAGAGCTGCAGTAGCTAAAGGTTGGGCTAACACAAGGTTATTTGTGGTGTGTTTGTGCTGACAGGACAGTTGTTTACAGCAAAGAGGTTATTCACCCACTGATCTCCATGATACACAAATACATAATTCATAGAGCAGATGAAATACGATGCAGTTTTAATTTAGGATTTAGAGAAATCCCATTATGTGAGTGGATTTATATATTTGCCTGGTAAATTTTACACTTAAAATATAAACTTTCCAAAATTCAGGCCAGCTCTCTAGTAAACTGTGATGTAACAAATTATAGTCTGCAGTAGGCACTTGTGAGTAATTTTCCGTCCTGTTTTAATTGAATTGTCTGTGCCTCTTCTGCCATCATTTGTCATTCCAGATGGGTTACACTCCGCTGCATGTAGCTTGCCACTATGGAAATGCAAAGATGGCAAACTTCCTGCTGCACAACCATGCCAGGGTCAATGGCAAAACCAAGGTAGACACACAGAATCACACACATACAGTCTTGTATCGCTGAAGACCTTCCTGCAATCCTGCAGTGTATTTGCATCTTTCCTGAACAAACTGATTGTGTTTGTCTGGCTGTGCTTAGAACGGGTACACTCCTCTACACCAAGCTGCTCAGCAGGGCCACACCCACATCATCAACCTGCTGCTTCAGAACGGGGCCTCGGCCAACGAACTCACTGTGGTTAGTACGCAAACACACGGGCTAGACAGCAGAGCTTAAGTTTGAGGAAATACTGAATGCTTTTTTCCTTTCTGTGTGTAACTTACTCTGTGTGTTTTTGTCACTGGTAAGAATGGGAACACTGCCCTATCCATTGCCCGCCGTCTTGGTTACATCTCTGTTGTTGACACTCTGAGGCCTGTGACTGATGAAAACTTGGCCACTATGGTAAGACACTGACTTCTTGTCAATGCCATCTCACATGCTTTAAGACATACAATCTAAAGACATATAATTACTTCATACATCAACTGATGGATATTTTGTGTAACTTGACAGCTGGGCAAAGATTCTGTGCTTCTTATTGAAAGGTTTTAATATATGTTTTCTTTTTTTGGGTGTGTGAGACTGTGTGATTTTTATTGATGATTCAGCTTCATTAGTTTAAAGAATAAACTGACAGCTATCACATTTTAGCAAATTAACAAGAGCAAATCTCATTTTCCAGACACTGAAGGGTAAACTTCTATGTTTTATTTTCTTAGCAGCCATTTATTTTTATTTAGGTATTAACTATGTGGAAATCAGCTTTGTCACTCTGTGATACTTTACATTTTCATGCAGTTTCTGGTTTTAATTGTTGGTGCATTAAAGGATTTTCTGATATGTAAGATTTCAGAGTTGATTCCAATGCTTTTTGGGCTGTGACATCAGGAAAAACAAGAATATCGGAACTAAAAGTTGTACAGTGCATTAGAAATAGTATCACTTTGGTTGTTTGTTGGATTAGGAAGGTTGTTTTTTGCTTAAAAGCGAACATTAGAAATAATGTTTTTTATTTGTCTGTGAAACTACTAGTGTTTTCTTACCGAGCAGCTAGCTCATTGCCAAAAATAAACCGTGGCCGTGGACAGCCAGCAGCACACTGTAAGTGGAGTTAAGGTGTGAATACTGCAAATGAGCTTGCAAGTCAGTCTGTCACGCTGTGTCACATGTGTGAAGTTGTCCTGCTTAAGAGAAAGGGACGGCTCAGATTGGAGCTTAAGGATTCCCCTCGTATAGCCAACGTTACTAACAGCAATACTAACAGCTGACCCTAATGATCAGATGAGTGAGGTACAGAAAGACAGGCAGTGATGTAGAAGTGATGAAGAAGTGACAAGCATGTGAGGCGGACAGTGAGTGAAGAGCCAGGAAAAGGGGTCATTGAGGATCCAGCACAATCAGCAGGAAAGTGTATTCGTCATAAATGCTTCAAACCACAGGAGTGTGAATAAAAGATCAAGGTCATCTCCTCACACCTCAGTGTGCCTGATCTATTATTCACCGTACACAGACCTCTGCTGTTGTTTTATGTTGCTCTTAAGCCTACATCTGCAGCCTTTGGAACATTTGCTGATCGCTTATCTGGGTCAAGATGGCCTTCAGAAATACAGTATGACTACTTCTTGCTATGACAGGGCCTGGAGCCCAGTCTAAGGCCCAAATAAGGAAATATATGTGAAGCTTTCACTTTATTTGCAACTTATATCCTGAAGTTGACACCAGCTGACTACATTTATCAGAGCTTCAGCTGATAAAATATTTAAAGAGTGGGTAATAATCAAGATCATCTTTTCTTATGTTCCCTTTGCTGTCACGCATAAACTGACTTTCAAAATATCAACAACAATGTCACTATCAGTACTTTCTTTTAATATGTAGCAATGTGAAAGGCAGTGATTTCAAGTGATTATGTGACATATCATAATTTAAGAAAATCCATTTGTAACTGCTTAAAAAAACAGGTGAGGAATATATAATATATGTATTTTTTTTGAATTTCCAGAGTGCATCCGAAAAGCATAAAATCAATGTCCCTGAGACCATGAATGAATTCCTCGATATGTCAGATGATGAAGGTATGTAAAAAAATGTTTTTAAATTTTATCACTGAGGCCTAAAATCAATGAAAGTGCATAATTCCCATATACTGTGTGCTATGTGATGTCATTCTCATTAACGTGCATGTTTCACTGTATGTGTATCCAAAACACAGTCCAGGCCAATGTGCCAGAAACTCTCAGTGAGGAGTCTTTGTCAGATGTTGATGAAGGTATCGGTTTGAATCCTCTCTTCTATTTTTTGCTTCTTTTCCTTTAATACAACGGAGCTGCCTTGCCTAGAACTAACAGTGTCGCCTTTGCTGTACTGCTGTTCTGCTTTGCTGTTCATGGTAATGGGAACGTTTTCAAAGGAACTTACTCACTGACCAGAATACACACTGTCCACTCAAACTAAATGCTGTGGTTATTCTTTAGTTATTATGTTGTTAAGGCTCCATGGGTTGTGCATATATACTGTTTTATTGTATTTATTATCTTTCCTTAGTCTTTAATCATGCAGACAAACAATAAAGTCCAGCTGTAGCCATTTTATTTGACACAAAATTGTGTAGCTGTGAAAAAATGAAAGCAAAATCAATGCGACACACATCAAAATGCAGAGTTGGAATATGAAGAGGCCGGCATACATCGTGTCAAATCATTTTTCAATGTATGTAAAATTCAAGTTTCATAGTTTGCAGCAGAGTAGCTGCTTCAGGACTGCAGGCCAATGTTCTGCCAAGTTTATGGTACAGAGGACCGTCCACTCAGTCCTCTGTCCTTTGTTTTGGAACTACACAGCCAAGATTCTTGCAAAATTGATGAGCTCGTTCACAGGCTGTTGCTCGGGGGATGTTGGTCAAGGGGTGTGGAGTTTCTGTGTGAGGCGATACAGCTAGAATCAACAAGTATACACGCATATCAGGTTTTAGGAGATGAGTTTGTTCTGAAGATCCTCACATAGGAAATATAGTGCCCATGACTTAATGTCCCCCACATAAACGGTTTATACCATGCATGTATTTCATCAGCGTTGTACTTCTGTGGCCTTGATAATCACTTTGCCCAATAGCACCACCAGACTGGCTTCAGACAGCAGTTGTATTCAGGTCTGCACTCCTTCATTTTCTATAGGATGCTGTTGTTTTGCTCTATGTGGGTGTGTGTTAAAGAAGTAGCAGGAGTAAATGGAGACTTTCTTCAACTTGTTTTAATCCTACATGAGGGAAGCCAATCCTATTAGGCTGCAGGCTGGAGTGACTCTAACAGCTCCCCGTGGTTGCTGTTGTGTGTGTGTGTTTTCTTGTGTGTTATTGTGACCTGCCTTATGACTTCTATACATGACTACAGCCACTAATCTATAGAGAATAACTTAAATCTTTAATTTTCTCTGTTAGCGTCATAGTATAGATTTCTATAATTCCTATGGCATTGGCCTGCAATAGTTTCATTACTGCAGTTAACCGTTGCTGCTTTGCTTGCATTCTCTTACTCTTGTGCAAGTTGTAGTCACTGTGTGCAACACAGTGACAGAAGAGCTAGACAGAGAAATGTTGCTCAAGAGATTAAAAATTGCAAAATTATGTGGTTATTTCGTCATTATTGTAGCCCCACTCCCACTTTGACACACAGCCAAACTCCCTCTAGGATTTCCATCACAGAGGAAGAATAAAACCTCAGTGAAAGTTTCAAATGCTGACGTTCCCAGGCATTTGCTCAAACGACCTGTCAGCTGACTGTGCTCTCCACAGAGCGGTAAACACTTCCACCGCGGCCCCTGTTGACACTCTTCAACTGGAGTTTGTTGTGGATGCTGCTGAGCCAGAGACGCACTGTCTCTCTCTCTCGCTTTAAATCCAATGAGATGAGCTTTTTTTGAGCCGCCTGCAAGAGATTTAACCCCGGTGTGGCCACCGATGTCAGGTGGCTTAGACTTAGGCTGTTTTATGTTTCCTCGTGTCCTTTTTGTGCAACAAGGAGACGCAAAAATTGGAGAGGTTCTAATCTACATTATTTTCGTAACGAAAGCAGCAGGGATGTGCGCACGGGCAAGAAACACGCAAGTTGGTTGGAGTGGAGTTAAGTGTTTGAGGTGACGAGAGGGCAGCTTTTTCCACCAGCACCAGAAGCATTGAATGGACTTCTTGATAGTCTTAAACTTTCTGCAGTTTTTACACCGTGGGCGTTTTGTGGCGTTTTAGAGAAACAGAAATTACCGCCGAAACACGAACAGAGCTGTAATCGATATGGCTGCGCTGGACAAAGGTAAGTCGCTCGGGGGGTTTAAAAGAAGTTTCAATAGCCGGTGCAATTAAGCCACAGAGAATTGATCGAGAGACAGAAAGTAAGAAAGTGAGAGTTACTGAGCGCCAATGTGAAATTGTCACTCTAAGATGTGGTTATTATTTTTTCCGTTTTTACTGATTTTACGTAGTTTTTATTGTGTGAACTATAATCAACATCCTTTTTATATTTGTGAACAGCTTTTGTTTTTTCTTCTTCTTAGAGGGACGGAAAAGGCAGGCTTTGGTTTTTTTTTTGGTTTTTTTTTTGGGCGGGGGGATTCAGAATATGCTTTAAAATATAGGCTAGAACAGGAGGGTGTTTGTGTGTGTGTGTCGGGGTGTAAGTGGTGGAATAACTGAGCTTGAATGGGACTGCCACACTTTATTCTAACAGCGAGCAGTCGATCCCTTTCCAGGTCTGTGAAGTCAGACAGAAATATCTGTGAAACGCAGGAAGTCGGATTATCCGCTCTGCCACAACAATAAAAGATATCGTTATGCGTTCAATAACACTTCATATGCTACATCCACATCATAAGATATGCATATTTCGCTTTCATTTTTATTGAGATTTGGAAACAGACAGGAAGCGATATTATAATCGATATTTCTCTGTCCCAGTGTTTTAAAATTAAGGTGCACAAGATTTCAAAATTATACTAAATACACAGAGATTATTTATTAGTTAAATATTTCTTTAGTATAATTAAAATATTGCGATATGTCTTCGAAAATCTTGCATCTTTTATCAATTTCCTTGCTTCACTTGAGAGAACATGTTCACAGTATTCTTTGTAAGAGTAGCTGATGAACATTATAATTGTAATTTATGAAGTGTAAACATAGGGAGTAAACAGGTTTAATTTTTTTCTTTGTCTTTAGTTTTGACTAAAGATAATTTCATTTATAACCCTTCCACCACTGGTTTTATTTTGAAATCTGACACCGGAAACGCTGCCATCCCTTGTCCTCTTGCTTGACACTGGTGGTGGTGTGTGATCGGAGTGCGGCAGTATTGAAGGTAGGGGGAGGGGCTGCGGTGAAGGAGCAGAGTGTTGCAGGCAGGACAGAGCCGGACATGAGGGAGAAGGGGAAACACTGTAGCCGCCCCGGCGGCTTCATTGACCGGCGTGTCATCGTTCACCGGTCCGCCGATCGAGGTGCGGTGCGGTTATGCACTTTCTCCTTATTCTTTGCTTATTGTGCTGAGGCTTTGGTAGCTATAAAACCTTCTGCTTTGACTCTTCTGAAACGAGCTGCGTTTGATTTTACAGGAGAGCTCTAGATATACCGCAAAGTGTCTTTGCTGCTGCCTCTTTCTCTTTTAATATTAGTCTCACCTCTAAAGTCCAGCATAGGCGCTGCTGAGTGTTCCAGCTTCATGTTGTTGGTGTGCCACAAATGAAAAGAATAGACTGAAAGAAAGAAAAGTTGCAGTGAGATATTCTGGGTTGATTTAACGGCAGAGGGATGCTGATAATTAGCCAAGGCCCTCTCTAAGTAGTCTAATCAAATAAAAGAGAGGCTGGTGTCGGGTTGTTTTTCTTTGCTGGGTGCCGCATCGTCTCTCTTGCCCTGATTAGCTTTTGAAGTTAACAGGAGGGTTTTCTGATTTCGTCCCTTCACTAGGTGAGGATGCAATGACTGGGGATACAGACAAATACCTGCGGCCTCAGGACCTCAAAGAGTTGGGGGATGACTCTCTCCCTCATGAGGGGTACATGGGTTTCAGCATAGGAGCCCGCTCAGCCAGGTAGGCACCTGCCATTTTTATATATATGCACATTAAAACTATTGATGTACTTCACAGTGTGACATCATCTTTGCGATATTTGCAGTGGTCACCCTAAATCCACAGATTTATAATGCCATAGTTGATATGACATATATTGTTCTTGTTGCTCTTGAATAGTTTAATGCACAGCCCCCTCCACCGAGCACACACACATGCATACATATGCAACATAAACACATATAGGCTCACACACAATAACACAGCATAATGGAAGTCACCAGAAAGCGCAGCTGGGAAGTTGCCATCTAATGATTCAACCTGACTAAATGATTCAGCGTTTTGTGTGACCCTGTTTGAAACTCGGGCAAAAAAAAAATGTACAAAGAGCTAGCAAGCTTTGATACCTTTGATGCTCTGGGCGAACAGCTGCGTGTCGGTGTAGCTACACTTTCACAGTGGACAAAGGATGTCGTGGAAAAATGGCAGGCGCCAATAAAAACACTCCGGTGGTGTGTTGTGCAGCCCCACAGTGTGTATTGTAACCGCACTGACAGATGGCAGATGGCACTGTGATGGCTGGATTGATAAAAACAACGACACGCTGACTGTGACAGGAAGCTGCTAACATCAGCAGGGCAAGGCAAACAAGGGAAACACTGGAGGGATTCCACGTGAACGACTTTGTTTTGATGGGCTGATCCTGGAAAAAGTTTTGACAGAGAGATAATACGTTGAATTATGCAAAAGTTTGAAAGAACTATTTTGTACAATGATACAGCGAGGAGCACATGCAAGCTTAAAAGCTGTGCTCACCTTTCTATTTCAGAGTTTTATTACATTATTATTACACTGACTTCTCCTTACAAATGATCAAGTCCTTCCATAGTTTCCATAGAACTTTCTTCCTCTGCAAACTACAGATACATATACTAAAATCTGCATATACATATACATACATTGCACATACACTTTGTTAAGCTGACTGTTTTTGCAGGAGTGTGGAAATGTATAAAATAATGTATTGATCAGTGAATGTGTGATGCTGAGCAAGTTCTTTTCTTTCCCTTACCTTTTCATTTATGACATTGACATTGCATGGTCTGCTTTTTGAGTGGGCTGGATACACGCAAACACCTTCTCATGTAAAACAGGAAAAATTCGCTCAACCTTGCCGTAGCGTGCCACCAAAAGCACAGCATCAATGTCACATCACGCTTGAACGTCTTCAAAATGCTTTGCTTTTCACTCTGCTATTTTGTTCTTTTTTTCTTGTTTTCTTGCATCCTGTCTCTCATTCTAGCCCTAGAATCAGGTAAGAAAAGAGTAGTAGTTGTGGTACCAGTAGTAGGTAAAAGATCTGTGAATGGTGTCTCTTCCCTGTGACCCTGTGAACTACTTTTTAACCCCAATCCAACACTCATAAGACCTCTAACTCAAACCACCAGTCATTCATTGGACATTGGTGTCATCCAGTGTTGGTGTTTCTCTGTTCGTGGTAGCGTATTTGACCCATTTGCTGTTACGTGTTGTATTTTTAGATCATCATCATCATCCCTCCACTTTTTAACTCATACCTCTTAGTGAAATCTGTGTCTATTGTTTTGATGTAGGTGTGCAAAAGAGACAGTTTTGCTGGACATAAGAAAATATAAGCAGCTGTTTTACGGATCTTTCAGTTTTGAGTTGTGTGGAGTAATCTACTAATGTTTTGATGTGGCTTCTTCTTATGTGGCACCTTATGTTTTTTTGGAGTGTCTCTGAGTGTAACTTCCAGGGATCGGACACATCATTGGATTAATAATTTGTTGACATAATTGGAGGTGTCCCACAAGTATTCGGCATGATTCCTGCTGTTCAATTCTGGTTTGCAGAGATGGAAACTTTGCATTCGAACACAGCAGCACTCACGTGGATATACTATGACTCAGTTGCCTACAGTTGCCTCTCTGAGTCCACAAAAATCCCTTCGACTCAGTGCTTAACTGGTTCATACTTTGACATGCTAGATTGAAAATTTGAAGTAGATTTTATGAGTGACCACCCATAAAAATGAATGGAGTGGAAAGAGGAAAGGAGGTGTTAGAGCAGGGTCTGATTGATTAGAGGAAAGCAGTGGGATAGAGGCAAAGTTGAAAAAGTCTTTAGTTGAGTGGATGAACTGATAAACTTCACAGTATTGTTAAAGCATCGTGACTCAGGAAATGAGAAAGCAGAGAGAAGGAGATCATTATGGAGAAGGATGACACGCAGAAGTGAAAAGCTGACTACAGGGAGGACATAAAAGGGAATGAGCAAGAATGAAAACACAGAAGGAAAAGAAGAAGCGCTGATGTTTTTGGGGGGAGTAGGGTAGGCAGAATGAGAAAGAGGAGGAAGCTGGAAAAAACAAACATGTTCGGGGTGAGAACAGAGTAGAGGGGGGGGATAGCGCGGCGCTGCCTTGCCAGCGAGTCCATTCAGCCCGCACAGAGTTGCTTGGTAACTTCGATGCCGGGGTAGGCAGGCTCTGCTGAATAAAGGGCTTCTCTCTGTGCTGAATAGCGTGCCCACTCAAACACGCTGAGCTCTGCATTTTCTCCCCCTCACTCACCCACTCTCCCCCTTTTGCACTCACGCACGGCGCATCAATACACACATACAGTATACCCTCTGAGAAACGAAGGCAGAGTTTTCAGCTTTGTTCACAGCTGAAGCTGCGTATCCTACACAAACAACAACAACAACAACAACAACGCACCTTTCACGTATGATATTTAAGTGCTTCTTCGCACACACACAAAAATATATGTTTCAGGTAAGCGTTTAGTCACCGCACATCAAATGAATATTTCACATCTTCTGCAATGATCAAATCGCTGTAGAAGGAGCACAAGAAAGAAGCCCGAAATGAATCTGCAGCACTGCACTGAGCCGAAGAGGCAGCAAAAATAGGCACACATCACCACACACAGCCATAAAGCAGACTGCAGCAAGATAGATAGAAAAGACCTGCTTCCCTTCTTGTATTTTGCTCCTTTGAAACAGGTCTAGGTCAGCTAATCTTAGAATAAAGGAAGGTGAGCTTTTGAGCTTGAGTCGGATTTAAAAGTTGAAATATCTTTGAGTGAATCTTGTTCCTTTTCCTGTCATTGATGACGTCTGCACAGAATTGAACACTTTAAGCTCTTATCTGCCAACCAGGTGCATATAAGTACAGTCTGCTATTCTGTCATACGTCATCATTCAGGCAGACGTAGTTACACTAGTGCTCATGACAGACGTATAGACAGAGCTGTCTTTTTTCCTTTCAGGCCGCCTACTTCTCCTCTTCCTCTTTCCCTCTATCTCTTAATGCAAAAAACTGACCTCACTCTCATTTCCATCTCTGAATAACGTGCTGCAATATCTTATCCCTGTTCAAATGCAGACTCTTCTGCTTCTCTATTTTCCCCATATTACTTTTGGACTCTCTGTCCAGTAAGTGAAACCCCTGGAGGTTACATGTAGTAATGGATTCCTTGCTTTTTGTTTTATGCCGTGTCCCCCTGCCCGTCACTTGTTGTTGCCCGCGGCACTGGGTTGCATGGTAACATGTAGCCTCCGCTCCTTCAGTTCGGATAGGTCCAACACACTCAACCGGAGCTCCTTTGCACGAGACAGTATGATGATTGAAGAGATTCTGGCTCCTACAAAAGACACGGTAAGTTTCATTTCTTTCGACACTATTTCCAAGCCTTCTGTCACCTTCTATCCACATTTTCTTCTTTGCTTTTTGTTGTAATTGTTGTCTTTGCTGATTAAAACACAAATTGGATAGATTAAAGGCAGAATCAGAGTAGCTTCATTCATCTTGCACAAGGGTCATAACAGAAGAAGTGTTAATGCCATGCCTGCTTTTGCCAAAGTGCTGAGAGTGAGCATATAGCACCTTGATGAAAGCTTTATTCAAACCCATGAGCTTTGAGCCCCCCACCTCCAGCTTCCTGAGGGAAAACTGCAGTGCTCTGCAGCGCTCATCTGTCATTACGTTGTTTATGTTGGTCTGTAGCAATAAAAGAACCTGTAATTCTTTTCCTGAAATTATTGTTAATATTTGTTTCAGCATCACCCAAGATCCCAAACAAAACTTAACGATATTTTGTAGTTGTCTTGAATTAGAAAAGCAGATGTTTTGGAAATCATTTGACTATTTAACAACACTACTTTACTGTCTTATGTCAGAGAGCTTCCTGGTAAATTGGTGCTGTATTAACCTGTAAATATTATGTATATGAGATTATGTTTGCTTTGAATTATCTGCCTTTTGATGAGTGAAGTTTCAGTTACAGTCACCTATTGAATGCAGATGCTAGAATCAAGATGTATTCAAGGAGTCAAAATTGTTTTCCTCAGTGGAGCACAAATCCTGCAGTGAAGCACGGCACCATACATTAATTTGTGTGGGCCATCTAGTACCTATAATGCGACTGCTGAACTGTTTTTCTTCTTCCCTAAGCTTCAGAGTGTCTGTAAAGACATTTCCTACTTGGTTGACCCACTCAATAAGGTATAAATGTCGTTGGATGTCTGACTCATTCGTCGGTTTTGTTATTTTTCATTCGCAGTGGTTCACCTTCCATTTCTCTCAAGTTTTGCTTTTCTGTATATTTGTTTGTTTTGGGTCTTTGCCATAAGTCATTCCCATGCTCCTTTCAGTGTACGAGAGTTCCAAGATTCAGTGTTCACATCCTTCTTCTTTTATTAAAGCTGATCTTTAGTTTCAAGTTTCTCAGTCATCATAATTATATAGTATCATCTTTTATTTATGCGCCTCAAGTGCCTTTGTGTCCTGGCTGTTGTAAGACCATGGACAGTGATGGAAAACATTGGTGAAATAGAAGCTGTAAATGTAATCAGCCCATATCTATCATTGCAGTGAGTGATAATTTGTTCACTTTTTGTCATCTTGCACCTTGTTCCTTTTGTCTGGATCCATTAGTCAGTTTTGCAAATCTGCTGTCAGTTTTCTTTGTCATCCTTTTTCTTCTTAACCCATTCTTTACTTTCTGTGCTCTTTACCGTGTCTTTGGATCTTCCTCAACCAGCACCTTGCTGTGACCAGAGATTACAGTTCGGAGTGTATGAGACGCTACAGCTGGACTCCTGACACTATGGATCACAGCCACAACACTGTGTCTAGTCCAATTCACTCTGGGTAAGAACAGCTGCACTCTCACCCAGCCTGGGAAGATGTTTCCCAGCATGCATACACTTACAGTACATGTGAAACGACACACATACTGCATGTGCATTCATATAACTATTTGCAGAAATCACACATTTTATATGCTTACTGCACGCAAATGTTTTACTGTCTTTTGCTCTCCCCCAAAGAGTCAATATTCAGCAAACTCTGCAGCACTGATGCAGACAAGGTGCAGGGCTGTGGGATTTCTGCAGTGCTGCTACTGTACACATTACATTAAAGCAACAAGACACACTTCACCCTCTAAAACTCTTGAGTTCCTCCATGTTCACTGCCGTCATTCTATTTTTATCATTACGGAAACAAACCGCATACTTTGTGAGCTCATAGTACAGTAGCTCATGTGTTTCACTTAGATAAACCGATGCGTCTTTTACATACTTTGAATATACGACATCATAAAGTGTTAAGATCTGCTCAGAATAGAGCGTGCTGTCTTTGCACAGAACTTGCACATAACTGAAAATATCTTTGGTGTTACTGAGAATTTAAATAGTGGGATCTATCATTTTAAGTTTTGGATCTTTCTTTCTATTTATGACACATTTTACCTTCAAAGCGTGCCTGTTTATTTAAATATTACTGTGTTCATTGTCATTTTGTCCTCATTTTTTTGTCCTTATTTCTACTGCATCCCTTGTTTTTTCACCTTTTTAGTCTTCTTTCATCTCGAGTAGTCATTAGAGATCCCACCAGTGATTATGGAACTGCTACTAAAACTAGGTTCTGGGGGTTTGCCTCCTGCATTGTCTCCCATGTGTTTATTTTGCAGCTTCTCCTCCCCGCTCCCTCAGTATGACTCCAGGTGATGACTGAGTTTGCTGCTCTCACCCATGATGGCGCAGTGATGTCACTCGCTCCTCCACCTCTGTCTCCCTCTCATCTCGTCACTGTCTCTTCCCTCTCCCGTCTGTGCCTTTGTCATCTGTGTGGTCTGGTGTTTCATTTGCACTGCTTAGATCTTAGAAGTTTGTAGTCGACATGTTTGGGACTCCTTCTTTATTGTGCTATTCCTTACTCTCTCATTACACATAAAAAATAACACCTCAGTCTTCTGACAAAATATACAGGGATTTTACCGTTTGCAACATGCTTAGCAAGCAACACTTATGGGGAGAAAATTCAATGTGTGGCTTTAAATTAAAGCTGCACAGGCAGGTTTGTATGCCTACCCAAAACTTACTCCGTCTTCTTATTTGTGTAATTTGGTGTATTTGTGGGACGCCACAACGTGCTCTTGATTTGAAGAATACCGATCGTATCGACCCAAGTTGAAACATTAGTTCTGGTGTTTAATATTTGACCACTTAATGCTGCTTTACAGGGGCTGAATCTTTGGCACGTGCTCACTTACAGCCTCAGTCCTGGAAACTAAACTTTCTACAACTTCATTAGCAACCAGTTTAGTTTCACACAGTGTTTAGTTCCCTAAACTGAGGCAGGTGAAGGTGAGAACAGCCAAGTTTCAGAACTCAAAGCATCGTTTTTCTCCTCTCTATCGTCCTGTCTCTTCCTCTTTCTCTGTTTTTGTTACTTTCTGTCTTTTCCTTCACTTTATTTTGGTGTACGGTGATCACAGCATGGGAATCGTCCTCCCCACTTGTGTCCGTAGCTTTAGTCTATCTTTCTCTTTTGTCGTTGTTTTGTTTCCTACTCTGAAATGTTCTTCTTCATCTGGCAGGTTCTTGGTCAGTTTCATGGTGGATGCCCGTGGTGGTTCCATGAGGGGCAGCCGCCACAATGGCATGCGCATCATCATCCCTCCCAGGAAATGCACGGCACCCACACGTATTACTTGTCGCCTGGCTAAAAGACACAAACTGGCCTATCCTCCACCCATGGTAGAGGGTGAGGGGCTGGTCAGCCGACTGGTGGAGGTCGGACCTGCTGGGGCTCAGTTCCTTGGGTAGGTTTTGGTTTTTTTTGTAGTAGGCTAGGAGGCAAATCAAAGGTTTTTTTCTTCTTTCTTTCTTAGATTGTGCACCAATTTAACGAAGATTCTTATGCTCTGTTTCCTCAAAGTCCTGTGATTGTGGAGATCCCTCATTTTGGTTCAATGCGGGGGAAAGAGAGGGAGTTGATCGTGTTGAGGAGTGATAATGGTGACACGTGGAAGGAGCACCAGTCTGACATTAGACCAGAAGACCTCACAGAGCTGCTTTCTGGAATGGATGAAGGTAACAGGAAGGTTATTTGGTGTGCTCCACATTTTATCAACCATCGTTGGGCTTTTTTGTGTGGAGTTTGCATGTTCTGCATGGGTTCTCTCTGGGTACTCTGGCTTCCTCCTGGAGTCTCAAGACATGCAGTTAGTGGGGTTAGGTTAATTGGTGATTCTGAATTGGATGTAGGCATGAATGTGAGTGTGAATGGCTTTCTGACTGTCTGTGTTAGCCTGTCCTTGGTCTTCCCTGCCTCTCAACCTATGACAGAACCCGGAAGTGGATGAGCAGAAGATGGATAGATATTTATTTGAAAAGCAAATTGCTTTTGGATGCATTGAGTTCCATGTACAGTGAACAGCTATCATCTGATTACTACGGCATAAAACTTTCTGCGTTCCTGTCTTTGTTTACAAATGGAGATTAATTGAAAGAGCTCATAAAAATCTAATGATCATAGACGATTTGGTGCATTTCAGCCCAGTCCTATTTTTGCTTTTTTTATGGGCTGATTACCTGTAAGCTGACAAAGCCTGCAGAAATACCATTGATCAACTCAAACTACAAATGGAAATTACACAAACAGATATACTGCATATCTGTTGCAAATATCTGTTTATGAGTGCAAAAGTACACAAACACATATATAAACATATATTTATGTGTGTGTGTGTGTGAAATTCTTCTTCTCATCTTGCAGAGATGGATAGTCCTGCCGAGTTGGAGAAGAAGCGTATTTGCCGCATCGTCACTGGAGATTTTCCACAGTATTTTGCTGTGGTGTCGCGGATTAAGCAGGAATCTAATCATATGGGTCCTGATGGAGGGGTACTTTCTAGCAGTACTGTTCCCATGGTCCAGGCCTCATTCCCCCCAGGAGCTCTCACCAAGAAGATCCGTGTTGGCCTGCAGGTACAGTAGGACTTCTAATGCCCACTTAAGTTTGGTCTGTATGATGACGGTGCACTGATTTGTTTCTTTACCTTACCATTCATTTTAACTGCTTAGATCCCTTAATTTGTTAGAATATTTTAAAATTGCCTGATTTGGCAGTAATCTGAGTTTAATGGCCAAATATTTTTTTCTGTACATCTTCCTGGCCTTCTGTTTAGGCCCAGCCTGTGCCAGATGACATGGTGAGGGCAGTCCTTGGCAACAGAGCCACCTTCAGCCCCATTGTCACTGTAGAGCCGAGGAGAAGAAAATTCCACAAGCCGATCACTATGACGATCCCTGTCCCACCTAGATCGGCAGAAGGCCATCCCATCGGCCATCGAGGCGAATCGGCACCCTGCCTGCGTCTCCTCTGCAGCATCACAGGCAAGCCGACCTGTGTATTAGTGGAGCATGACAATACTCTTGTGGTACCTCTATGCAAACAGCTTTTGCAGAATTAACATTTATTTCCAAGATTCCTTAAAAGATATCTTGACAGTCATTACATTTCTTATTTTTGTTTTAAAATGTTTTTACTATTATATAGCACTGTGCAAAAGTCTTGAGCCACCCATCATCAATTCTGTTTTGCTTCCAAAAAACAGACTTTTTTAAAGTGTCTTGAGCAACAATTCTAAATTTTGAAGTTTTTCTTTGGAAATTGGCTATATTTTAATTAGTTTTCAGTCCAGTCCATTTACCTTGGCATTTTCTGAGGATGTGTTGTGTTTGTCAAGCCACTTAACACTGCCCTAAATATGAATCATTTAAGTAGAGAAAAGGCACTTGGCAGGCCTAAAAAATGTCAAGCACTCATTCACAGCACTCAATATGTACAGACAAAATGAGGAGAGAGATTCAACAGTGAGTGTTTATGGCTATTTGTAAAACCTAGTGGAGGCTTTGTCATGGATTGGGGCTGTATTTCAGCCAGTGGTGTTGGGAATCCTGTCAAAATTGATGGAATTATGAATGCAGAAAGATTCACTATGCGATACCATCTTTTTGGGAGCATGAGATTGATCTTAAACACATCACCAATGCAGTAAAATCATACCTGATTAGACAAACACACAGTGGAACCCTCTCAGTCATGGATGGGTCTCCCCAGAGCCAGGACCACAACATTGTTGAAGCAGTGTGTGATTATTGGAACAAAGAACAGCCAGCATCCAACGAAGAGCTTTGAATGTCCTTCAAGGATCCTGGAGAACTTTTCCTGAAAGCTAATTAAAGAAGAATAAAGGTGGTCATAACAAATACTGACTTTCAAGCTTATTAGAATTGTGAAAACTCTGTTTTTGCCTTATCTACTTTGTTTCCATTTATGTTTTCACATGTCAGTACACCTATTTTCCATTTTTCGAGGAATATATACAAAATGAAATAATAAACATAAGGAGTAGCTTAAGACTTTTGCACAGCACTGTACAAATCATTATGAGTCGAATAGTCTGATCAGTTCTACTATGATAGTAAAAAATGCAGAGCTAAGAAGATAAAAGAACAGCGATTACGTAAGCTAAAAACTGCCCGTGCTGAAAAGGCAGTGAGCTAAATTTTTGTCCCTGTTTTTAATGCAGGAGGAACCTCCCCTGCGCAGTGGGAGGACATCACAGGAACCACACCACTGTCCTTTGTAACTGACTGCGTTTCCTTCACCACAAATGTTTCGGCCAGGTGAGACACACTCGTATGTTATACACACGGCAAATCAGAACTGGACCACTGCATATATAAATATACCGATGCCCAAGCTGTCAGTCAATCGTCATGAAATGATCTTGCTGACAAACAGACAGACAAACAAATGGCGCCCGTGTTATACCTCTGACTTGAATGATCTAAATCTCTAAATTTTGATTAATTGGACTAATTATGGAGTGAAACTGTTACATTTGTGGAGGGAGAATATACTACATTGAGCCCTAGAAACAGGTGTAACTTTCTTTATTAATAATAAATAATAATGACTAGATGTATCAATAATAAAGGTAGTAGGTTAAAGTATGGTTGGTTCAGTGTATATTTATCAATATCAAATATCAGTGTATATTTTATATTTTCTGGAGACCTTGATAATAAAAGCAGTTAGTTGCAGGTCTAGTCTCACCTCAGTGGAAGTCCCAACAAGTAACCCAAGAGAGTTTAACTCTCTTCCAGAAAACATTGTTGTGAGCTTCAAAATATTGACAGTGTATTTGCAGAAGTTGGCAGTGAATGCCCAAATATACCACGAGATAAAAGCTCAAAAATGCAACCAGTTAGTTGACAGAATCCCGAGTTCCCCTCTGATAGAGTTACACTCAGTTACACATTTAACTGTGTGGTGCAAAGTCAGTAAACCACAGATTGTTGAGGTATGCTGTTAAACTGACCTCAGCAAGTGAACCTTTCAGTTACATCACGCAAAGTCATGATTTTCCATCCTAACTTGATTTAAATCATGCGGTGAGTGTGTAGCCTGATACTAACAGAGCACCCTTTGGTACTCTATAATTAGATTACTGCACAAATGTCATGTGTCTTTTTGCATCCTTCAGAGAAATAGCCACATTTGTTTGATCACTTAGATTATTATTTAGAATGACTGTTATACACCTGTGAGAAGATTCATACAAAATTGCTTTATTTATTTACTTTTTGTGTCGCCTCGGATCTTTCCCCCTCAGGTTTTGGCTCGCAGACTGTCACCAGATTCCTGAGACGGTGAGTCTAGCGTCTCAGTTATACCGGGAGCTGATCTGCGTGCCGTACCTGGCCAAATTTGTGGTGTTCGCCAAGATGAATGATGCTGTTGAGGCTCGGCTGCGCTGCTTCTGCATGACGGACGACAAAGTGGACAAGACCCTCGAGCAGCAGGAGAACTTTGAGGAGGTGGCCCGCAGCAAAGATATTGAGGTGGGATGCAAACAAATGTTCTGCAGTAAGAGAGTCTAATAAAAACTGCACTGACAGATAAAATAAAACAATGTGCTGTGATTCTATATTTTTGGATAATGGATTTCTGTAGGTTCTTGAGGGCAAACCGATCTACGTGGATTGTTATGGCAATCTTTCCCCTCTTGCCAAAAGCGGGCAGCAGCTGGTATTTAACTTCTTCTCCTTCAAGGAAAACAGACTTCCTTTCAACGTAAAGGTATAGGATGTGTTCTTCCTGTCACACTCTCTGTTAGCATTTACTGTAGCCTCCTTTATACAGGTGCATTTCAGAAACAGCTCTCCTTTCCTTGAGTCTGCATTAATTATCTCATGTTCTGCACATGCTTATGTACATGTACATGCTTCTAAGTGGATTATATTTTTCCCTGTTATATCTTTACTTGTATATAAAAACACTGCAATAGGTTGAGGTAGGGCTGTTCGATATAACGATATATATCGGATGACGATATAAAAACGTCTATCGTTTCATTTTACGCTATCGTTTGTTTCGTGGTGTTGCAAAATTGTTTACTGCAATATTTTTTCATCGTTTTGATGGTCACTGTGGTGGCTATATTAATTTCTTAAAGTTGTCTCCTTCTCTTACATTTAATATAACCACACTACAGACAGACAAGCGTTTGTTTTTATGCGTTGTCGTTAGCAACAACGACGGTAAAACCACCGTGTGTCCGCTTGTTCCACATAAACCTTTCACAATAAAGCTCAAGATCCTGTTGAGACTTTTCAAAATAAACGGAATCACGTGAAAGATGCAGAGTGTTTACGGATGAGAAGCAAAAAAGAGCCGCCAGGTGCTAAAAAATAAACCTTAGTCTCAAACGTTAGAACAGGCTTTTCCCCGCAGCACGCCGTGTAATAAATACTCACAAAGAAAACGGCGGCCGTTACAACTTATGTCTAAAATGTATAGTTTCATGCATCGGTTAAAACACTCGACTCCAGGTACACAACGCCCAGCTGGAAACACTTCACGCAAGTCGAGCTGCTCGAGATTCACAGAATTTACAGAAAATGTTACATTTTTGTGATTTTATATCGTTATCGGACGATAGATGTCTTAATATCGGGATATGAGATTTTGGTCATATCGCACAGCCCTAGGTTAAGGTGCAATGATAATTACTCCTGGAATTAAGAAGAAATGCATTTTTTTTTATTGACATTAGGTTTTGTTGAACAAGTGTTTACTGTCTTCTGCAGATCAGAGACATGGGCCAAGAACCATGTGGGCGCCTCTCCTTCCTGAGAGAGCCAAAAACCACAAAAGGCCTTCCACAGACTGCCATATGCAATTTGAATATCACACTGCCAACCCACAAGAAGGTACGATTTCCATGATTAAACTGTTGATTGTTTTAGGCCACGTCATATCATCTACATGTAAATGAACCAGTTGAAGAACAACAAACACTGTCCTCCCGAGACCAAGAGAAATCTTTGAAGCTCACCTGGTCTAGAAGTGACTGCCTGCTCCTTGTGTCTTTTATTAATGTTAAAGCCTGTGCCAGTCATAAGACCCCACAACGTACACATTGCAGCCACACATGCACATCATGCTTTGCTTTAGTGGCTGGCTCTCTGTGGGTACATAAAAATTATGCCAAAAAAACAACAACAAAACAATACTTTGTTTGTTTGTTTGTTGTGGTGTTGATTGATCACAAGAAACTGTATTTCCTTTGCTTTTGCTTTTGTTTATTTTGCTGTGTGTATTTATTAATCCCATAGATTTTTGATGCTTTTTGTTGTTTTTGCTGCTCCATTTTCATCCCCTGAGTTTTATTTTCACCTCCCGCTCACTATAACTTCCCTGCTCTCCATTGTGTCATCTCTCTCCTCTCCTGCAATGCATCTTGGAATACCACAGGATATGGAGTCTGATCCTGATGATGAGGTAAACAAATTCTTCATCATCACACGAAGCCGCTTCTTCTTTGTCGTCCTTTCTGTTGGCTTTACTGCAGAGAACGTTGTAAATATGCGTTTTGCAAATACCTTACCTCAGTTCTGTACCTAAATGTGGAAGATGCTTCTGAGCGCACGTTTTTACACAGCCGTGTCAATCCTGACCCTGCAGTGCATGAGTGGAAATGGCAATTGTTTTAATCTGCAAGGATTTATTTATCGTTGTCTCCATCCCAAGTCCAGTGGAGCCAGTTGCTGTATAACATCTCGGCTTGTTTTTCATCACTATCTTATTTTCCATACATGTTAAACAGGACTTCGTCATTACTATAAACATATAGAGACTTTGGTATATTTTGTCAGCCAGACATGTAACCCTAACTTTTATTATTTGTCCACTTAGGCTACGTCCACACGTACACGGGCATTTTTGAAAACGAAGATTTTCCGTTTTCGTTTTATAAAATAATCCCGTCCACACGTAAACGAAAAAATGATGGAAAATGCTGCTAGGAACATGCCAAAGCAACAGGTGGCGATATATTCCTAACCGTGTAGAAATGTTGGCCAATCAGAAGTCTAGAAGCCTCGGTGGGAAATAGTAAACAAAGCTGGGGCATAGAAGCAGAACCGAGTCGTATGTGTGGAGGGACAATAACTGTGTGTGTATGTGTAAGCATTTAAACACTGCAGACAGTAAAATTAACAGTAACAGTCTACCTCCATTGTAGAAATTCATTTCACCGAAACATTAACGTGGCGCACAGTGTGACATCAAGAAAGGCGCACACCTTTGACGCTGCATTTTCTCCGTTTTCCTCATCCACACGTAAATGCAAAAACGGAGTTTTCAAAAATATCCACCCTGGCAGGCGTTTTTAAAAATCTCCGTTTTCAGTGACCGAAAACGGCGTTTACATGTGGACGAAAGGTGGAAATGCATAGAAAAATCTCAGTTTTCAAAAATACCCGGGTACGTGTGGACGTAGCCTTAGTCGTTGTTTTTTTGTATTGGGGTTTCTCGTATTTTTTGTTCTTTTCCTTGGCTTTTCTGTAACAATAGTACTAACTCTCTCCATTGCATGGCAAAACATTTATGGAAGAGGATTCCAACAATAAACGTTTATTTCAACAACAGTGTGATATTGGAATAGTTAAGGTTCGGCAAACAAGTTCATTAGGATTTGCAAAAAACTGTAGTCATAGTTTCAAAAACTTAGGCTGTTTGTCTGCAAAGAATAAACACACTGCACTCACTTTTGTGAGTTACCCAACTCTTTACAAAGGCTACATTTCACACTAGTAATTGCTTTTACACTAAAAATTGGCATCAGATTAGATTTTAAATCATGAAATGCTAAATATGAACATTTGGAGAACCTATTGATACCAACACTGACGCAGTTATTATTATTGACGTTTTAAGATTTACCATGATGTGAAGATGAGAAGAAATTTATTCAATATACCATACTTAACTGTAAGTTGCACCAATTACTAGTGCAGGGATTACATGCAAATCATATATCGTTTACAGTTTTTTGAAGACACATAACTGTAGTGCCTCCCTGTGCAAGTACTAACAGCATGCACTGGTAGACTAAAAAAGCAGGTTTATTTCCTTGCACTATAACTTCTAAATTAACAAGTTAACAAAAATATTTATTTCTGTTCGTTTCAAGCACATTTTACTTCATTTTTATGTTGAAGCATCTTTTGTTCTTTTTTGTTTGTTTCAGACTGAAAAGCCAGAGCGACGTCATACCTTTGCCTCCTTAGCTTTGCGTAAGCGCTACAGCTATTTGACCGACCCAGCAGCGAGTGAGTTTCCCATTTTTACCTACGTGAAATTTTTAATTGGTTTCAGATATTTATGTTATTTTAATCAGTTTTAGTGTCTGAAAGGTCCCATGATATAGTTTACATATTTCTACCTCTCATTTACATATAATATAGAACCCTGACAAAACATGTCCATCGAGCATTTATTCCTACCACCCAACACATACTCTTTTATCATCTTTCATTCTGCAAACATTTGCATGGTTTCCTGTGTGTCATGCTTTGCTTACCCACCCCATGTTGACAAAATGTCTCCCTGTTTTGACTGCTATGTTATTGTCACTGGTGTCAATGTCTGTTCGTGTATCATTTGAACAGAAATGTTTTAATTCATGTTGAATAAAAATATTATTTTGAATTGTTCTCATTCTTTCAGCAGCCATTTCACTCTTTTATTGGCTTTATGATTGCGTGCGGCTGTGTATATTAACATGAAATAGGTTGCACTTTACATGAACTTTCTTCCCCCCACAGTGACTCTTTTAGAGCACAAGATTTGATTTAAAAACATTTTTTTTCCCTTTAATTAAATCTTGGAATACCTTTTCTCACAGATATTATGTTTTAGGGCCGGAGCTCTTTCTTCTCGATGCACTATCTTTGCTTTATTTTAATATGTCTAAACTTGTCTTTCTGACAATTTTGTGAAAAGTGTTAGGATTATTTAATAATATACTTAGCTAGAGATAAAATTGTGACCATTTAAATAAATCTTTCATTGCAGGTCACATTTTTTTGTAAAGTGCAACCTCATATTTTATTTTAAGTTGTGACCAAAATATTAAGGTGATATTTTTTTTTTATTAATAATATACACTTGTGGGGTCACCTGGCATTGAAAATGTACTAAATGAAAAGAGAAAGACCTTTTAATCAAACATACACAGTAAAAGGCAGTGTTGTTAGGAGCAAATAGATTAAGCATATCAAAAGTCAATGGAATTGCATATTTTTGGTTATCATGACCTTTTTGTCACATCTATCATATCAAGCATTTTTGTTTTTGTTTTTTGTTTGTTTTGTTTATTTTTTCCAAGATCCATTCTGTTTTGAGTGTATTTATTCTCATTGCTCATCATCATTGTAATATGGGCCTTTTACATTTCAAGTGTAAAATTATGCCTTTGAGAGTAATGCCCTTTCTGACTGACTCAAATTTCTCTTTCTGGTTTTTATGTTTTATTTCAAATTATTTTATGTTGGATTTTTTTTTTACTTCCTTATTGCTTTTGGTTTAAATTACTGTTGAAGAAACAACTGATCGAAGCTCGCCGAGAACACAGCCTTCTAGCTACCCTCACAAACCTGTCTTTTCAACGAGACCTTATCAGGCGTGGTCGCCTGTTCCTGTCGCCGTCCCTGGCCAAGCCAAGTCTGGGTTTGGCTCCCTCTCCAGTTCGTCATCCAACACGCCCTCTGCCTCTCCATTAAAGTCTGTCTGGTCCATCAACTCTGCCTCCCCCATCAAGACAAACATCCCTGGATCACCTGCCTCTTCTGTAAAGTCAGTTAGTGACATAGCCTCTCCCATCCGATCTTACAGAACCATCTCCTCTCCTATAAAAACGGTAGTCCAGCAAGCTCAGTACCCCGTCCAGGTCAGCCCCAGTCCCCTTTCTTCACCGGGCAAAAGTGCCCCAGATCCTCTGTCTATGAAAGGATTGGCAGCATTGTCTGCTAGAACCTCCCCTTTAACTGTCCCTGAAAGAGGGAGCACTCTTCTTGAAAGATCATCTATGGGCATGACCCCACCAAGCTCTCCCAAATCTTCTCTGAGTATGTTCAGTTCATCCCTGCCATATAAGACTGTTATGGGAGGATCTAGTGGCACTGCATCATCCTCATCACCTATAAAAACTGTACCTGGTCTCTCTTCTGTGCGTTCCTTTGCCTCTGATGTCACAAGCCCTGCAAGAAACCTGTTTTCGTCCCTTTCATCACCACTGAAATCCAACTCCTCCCCAAGTGCTGCAGCTTTGATTAATGGAAGTGTCTCGCCCACACAGTACCGTTCTTCATCCCCAACATCTCTTCTCTCCAGCAGTCTGCAAGAAAGGATACAAGCAACCACCAATGCTGCAACCACAAGTGTCAATGCAGCATTTGATGAAGTTGAAAAAACATTCAATTCTTGCTCTGCAGGCTATGGCACCCTGAAGTCCATGTCTTCTTCTGCGTCTTCCTCATATCAGTCCATTAGATCATCAGCTTCTAATTCCCTGTATCCCTCACTAAGATCCCCCACTAATGTTACCACTGCTGTAACGTCTAGTACAATGACTGTTCCAGTGTACTCTGTTATTAATGTGCTGCCAGAACACCAGTTTAAAAAGTTACCTGAGGTGTCAAAGTCAGCTGCTGCTCTTCTATCCCCAAGGAAGACTGTGCCAGTTGAGGTAAATGCTCAGTTGCAGTCTTCCTTTGCCAAAACGCTTTCCCCTATCAAAGCTCCCTTTTCTGCTGGCCTCAAGTCAAATACCACATCACCACTGTCATCTAGTCAAGAGATTCTGAAGGATGTAGCTGAAATGAAGGAGGACTTGATTCGAATGTCAGCCATTTTGCAGACAGACCCAAATTCCATAGCAAATAAAGGATTTCAGTCTGATTCTCCCAGAGAGGCTAAGATAGAAGATGAGGAGCCATATCGGATTGTGGAGAAAGTAAAGCAAGACTTGGTAAAAGTCAGTGAAATCCTCACTAAAGATGGTGTGAAGGATGGTAGGGTTTCCCTGACCAGGGATTCATTGGATGACATACATTTCTCGAAAGTACAAGTTGAACAACCGCCAAGCAACTGGAGCTATCCTCCAAGATATGAGACAGTGGTCCCTCAAGCCAAATCGAAAACAATTCCTGATCGAGATTTCAATCTGTCCAAAGTGGTTGACTACCTGGCCACTGATGTGGGCAGCAGCTCTTTCTCCAAAATGTATGATACAAAGCATAAAGCAGATGAGGGCAAAAGAGAAGAAGATGGGAAAGAGAAGCAGAAACGTGTTTTAAAACCCACCATAGCAGTTCAGGAGCATAAGCTCAAAATGCCTCCAACAAACATGAGGTCTTCTTCTTCTGACAAGGAGATCAGTAAAATAGCTGATACGCTTTTTGGAGCAGATACTGTGCTAGAATCCCCTGATGATATCTCACATGAACAAGATAAAAGCCCTCTCTCAGACAGTGGCTTTGAGACCAGAAGTGAAAGAACACCCTCTGCCCCTCAAAGTGCCGAAGGCATGGGCCCCAAAGCCCTTTTTCAGGATATCCCAGTTCCACCAGTGATCACTGAGACTAGAACTGAGGTTGTCCATGTCATCAGGAGTTATGAGTCTCCAGAGGACAACAAACAACCTGCAATGGAGGATGCTCACCCAGTAAGATATATTGATTCAGATGCTAAAGGGCATCAAAATCAAACTACGTCAACTGCAGACCAGAATAAATGCTATTCAATTAAAGTCAGCCCTGACGAAGATCCCATGGGGAAAGGGATGAGGGTAAAGGAGGAAACTCATATCACTACCACCACCAGGATGGTGTACCACAAACCACCTGGCAAAGAATCAGCATCTGAGAGGTGTGAGGAGACGATGTCTGTGCATGACATAATGAAGGCATTTCAGTCAGGCAAAGACCCTTCTAGAGAGCTGGCTGGACTGTTTGAACACAAGTCAAACAATGAGGAAACATCTCAGAGAGTCCTCGAGGATCTCAACTCCAAGCCTAAAGTTGAAAGAATAATTGAGGTTCATATTGAAAAGGGCAATAAAACAGAACCAACAGAAGTCATCATCAGAGAGACAAAAAACCATGCAGAGAAGGAAATGTACTACTATCCAGGGAATAGACAAGATGAGGAAGAGACCGAGGAGTCTCTCCCAGTGTACCTTGACTCCCCAAGAGTGAACACACCCATGTCCCAGGAAGAAGACAGTCGCCCTAATTCAGCCCAGCTCATGACAGATGACTCTTACAAAACTCTAAAGCTACTTAGCCAACAGTCTGTTGAGTACAATGAGGATGAGTCATCAGAGCTTAGAGGGGAGTCTTACAATTTTGCAGAGAAAATGCTACTCTCTGAGAAATTTGACCAATCTCATTCTGACACAGAAGAATATTTGAGAGATAGGTCTCGCTTCTGCTCACCAGATAGAAGCAGTCACAGTGAGGGTAGATCAGTTGGGCCAAGGACAGAGTATGTCTTTAGGTCAACAAGAAACGTCTTTGATAAATCTGGACGGATGGCCAATGTTGATGACAACTTTGACAAACTGACACTTTTGCAATATTCATCTGAGCCTGGTAGCCCCAAGCAGTCTGTTTGGATGCGTGTGTCAGATGACACGCAGAATAAAGAGAGAGAACAGCTTATATATGAGGACAGGGTGGACAGAACTGTAAAAGAGGCAGAGGAAAAGCTAAGTGAGGTGTCTCAGTTCTTCCGTGATAAAACAGAACAGCTCAATGATGAGTTGTCATCTCCAGAGAAGAAATCTCGTAGACCAGACTTCAGAGAATCACGGTCAGGGCCCAGCTCTACACACAGCAGTCCAGAAAGATCAGCTTATAGGAGTGGGAGTAGTGGGGAAGAGTGGAGCAGGGAAAGGCTTCGAGACAGGTTCACCTCCAGTGACAGGAAATGTGCCAGTTTACCAAGCAGTCCAGAAAGGAGAGTATTGTTACAGTATTGTGATTCCGACTCAAGAAGACAAGGTGATGGTAAATCACAGGTAACTACAGGTGAAAGCCCTAAACCTTTTCAGATGTCTTCCTCCAAAGTCAGTGCAGTGAGGCTAAAGTTTGAGCAAGAGGCTCAAAGGCAAGATCGGAATCCTCAGGGTGTCCAGAATTCAAATCCCCCTATCAGAAAGCTCCAGGAAAGTAAGCTTCCTGTTTACCAGGTATTTGCTGGTTCAGGTGTCCCAAAAACAGGAGATGGTGTGGGAAATCAGAGGAGTTGTCAAGAGAGTGAAACAAATAAGTTCTCACCCAAGCATGAGACTAGTGGAAAAAATCAAGAAGAGAGCAAGTTATTCAGAACATGGGAGAACCAGGGGTATGGAAACTATAAACCTCAATCTCCCAAACTATCTAATTCATTAATCCATGATTCTATGAAAAGCAGCAATAATAGTGATTCCCAAAGACAAGAAACAACAAAAAAAATAATCTACACAGAATTTGTTGTCCGAGAAAGTCCAACCAGCAACGATAGTCTAAAAAAAAACTCGGAATCACAAATTCCTGTAAGAAAGCCATCTAATTTCTCAGAAAATCAGAAATCTCCCCCTTTAAAAACTGATACCCCTATTGAACCATTTGAGAGGGCAGGGTCTCATAGTTCAGCTCGAAATCGGGTACACAGTAGCTCTGAATCCAACAAGTCTACCCGTGGATCATCATTAGGAAAATCCACAGATTCATCAGAGGGTAGCCAGTCAAATGTAGTGTGTAATGGTGTTGATAGTGACCAAGTAGAATATTTGGATCAAGTAACTCCTGTAGTTGTAACTGAGGGTTTTAAAGATATTAAGCCCTTGCCTGTTTATGTCAGCATCCAAGTAGGAAAGCAGTATGAGAAAGAGACAGCTTCGGGTCAGCTGGGAACATACAAAAAGATAGTAAGCCATGAGAGTAGGACAGTGCATGAAACCAGGGGTGCATTTTACTCTGTCAAACAAAAGCAGTTGCCATCGCCTCAAGGAAGTCCAGAAGATGACACTCTAGAACAAGTGACTTTCATGGAAAGCTCTGGGAAAAGTCCTGTTACCCCTGAGACCCCCAGCTCAGAGGAAATGAGCCTGACCTCCAGAACGCCAGACTCTGTGATAGGCTTCATGCCTGGCATGCCAAGTCCTATCCCAGAGGAGTCTGAAGAGGAAGAAGGAAAGACCTTCATCTACAAAGAGCCCTCAAAGGAAAAACCTAAGCCAGCTTCCCCAGAGAATAAAAAGCAGGATGGAGAGAGACAAAGGTCAAAGGACAAAAGAGTGGCTTATATAGAGTTTCCACCACCTCCTCCTATAGAAGCAGAACAGTCCAATCCAGAGAAAAGGGGTTCATGTGCTTCTTCCTCAGAGACAGAGATGATGGAGGTTAACCTGCAAGAGGAACATGATAGACACCTCTTAGCTGAGCCAGTCATCAGGGTCCAGCCTCCATCCCCTATTCCCCCTGGAGCTGATAACAGTGACTCTAGCGATGATGAGTCCGTCTTTCATCCCATCCCACTCAAAAAGTATACATTTAAAATGAAGGAAGAAGGAGAGAAACGTCCAAAACCCAAAAAATCTGAGAAAAATGGAAATAAGGACTCTGGGATTAATGGTGTAGTAAAGGGAGAGGAGGCTGATTTTGAGCAAAATGGCAATGATCAGTCAATCACTGACTGCTCAATAGCGACCACTGCTGAGTTCTCTCATGACACAGATGCAACTGAAATTGACTCTTTAGATGGGTATGACCTTCAGGATGAGGATGATGGACTGAGTGAAGATCCAAAAACATCTAGTCTGTCTAATGATGGAAAAACAGCGGGTGCATTTAGCCAGTCCAAGCTTGAAGTGATAGAGGAAGAGAAATGTGAGGAAGGGGGAGATGGAAAGACTAAAATCAGTGCATCTTCTCTGCAAAGTAGTGGGGATGAAAAAGATTACACCCTTGAAGGAAGACATCCAGATAGACAGGGCTTTGGAGAAAACTACTTTGGCTATCAACTTGAAGAGGAGCTGAATTCACCCTTTAAAACAGTGGCCACCAAAGGTCTGGACTTTGACCCCTGGTCCACAAAAGGGGTTGATAATGAAGGGGTTTTTGAGTCCAAATCAAAAGATGATGACCCAAAACCCTACGGCTTATCAGTGGAGGACTCACAGGCTACAACTCCTGACACAACCCCTGCTCGAACACCAACTGATGAGAGCACACCGACTAGTGAGCCTAACCCTTTCCCTTTCCACGAAGGGAAGATGTTTGAGATGACCCGCAGTGGTGCTATTGACATGAGCAAGCGGGACTTTGTTGAAGAGAGGCTTCAGTTTTTCCAGATTGGTGAGCATTCCTCTGACCCTAAAACAGGGGAAAAGGGGCGAGGGGGCAAGATCCTGGGGGTACTTTCCTCTCAATCAAAAACAGGGGAGAGGGCCACTGTAGATGGAAAGGTGAAGGTTATAGATACTACCACAGACAGCAGCACTACACCAACAACACCAGCAGCAACTACAGCAAAATGCAGTCCTGCACAGCCTCGCAGTGACACTGGCTATGCTGGTACTGATGCCCCCATCTGTGAAGCCATAGCTGAAACTGCCTCGTCTTGCACAATCACAGCCTCTAAGGTTGATTCGAAATTACGTACTCCTATTAAGATGGGCATAGCTGCCTCTATAACTGTGAAAAAAGACTCAGGGGATCTCACTGATTGTAAAGCTGAGATATCTGAGGGCCAGCTGGTGCCAGAATACATTAGTATAGAGGGGCAGTCTACAGACAGCAAGTCTAGCAGCCGCACTTCGCCCAGATTAGAAAGAAGAGATTACCCCTCTGAAAACTGCAACAACAATAATAACCTTGAGTCCTCCAATGTACAGGCCAACTACATACAGTGTGGCAGTGTGGTGTTTAATTTGCAGTCCTCTTCTGAACCCACCCTCCAAAAAGCTAGTCGGATAGAAACGCTTTGCTGTAGGGAATTAGAAGAAAGAGTGGAAGTACACAGCAGTAGTCAGGTGCAGGAGGAGAAAAATGAAACAGTTAAAGAAAATGAAGTAAAGCAGCCCAAGTCAAGACTTCCAGTTAAAGCATCAGGATGGTCATTTCACACGCAGGGAACAGCCATAGGTAAACAGAAGCCGAAACAAGCAGTGAAAGTTGAGGTTAAAAAAAGAGGCGAGCCAGCCATAGCCAAAGTAGAGCCCAGGTCTAGGATACCAATAAAGGATGTTAAAAAGAGCAGCCCTGCTACTACAGCTAGCTCAGTTGTTTCAGTTCGGGTTACCTCACAGCCAACGAGGGCACTGGCCACAGAGAGAGCAGCCATACAGTTGCCCTCAAGGCTTCCACTGAAGGACAGGCATCAGATCAGCAGTGTCGCAATTGAGGGAGTATGTAGACCAGACAGACAGGAAAACCCTAGTGAGCTTTGTAAGCGCACCATCGAATACTTTAAAGACATTAGCGGGGAGACGCTAAAGTTGGTGGACCGCCTGTCAGACGAGGAGAAAAAGACGCAGACAGAGCAGTCGGAGGAAGACAGCACCTCCCGGAGCACCTCTCTGTCGGACGCCTCCCAGCCTTCCCAGCCCTCCCAGCCCTCCCGCTCATCCAGGTCTGGTAGAGGTTCGAGGGCTGAGGCCGGGGCCGCGTCCGTAAGGGCAAAGGTGGCGACGACGGACAGGGCCTCCGGCAGTGAGAGGAGCAGGAGGAGTAGGCGGACTGGTGGGAAGGAGGGCAGTCAGGGACTCACAGGGTCTCGAACGCCTCCCATCGCGGAGATCAAGCCTAGTTTGTAAAATTTTCACACTATGTTTAAAATACATCTATATATTTCTATATATCACTTGTAGTTGCATGACATCGTTGTGATTGTTTAATGGATTGACTGGAATGCCTGTGGCGTGTTTACATATTCCCTTCAGAATAGTAGCTGTCATTTAAATTTCTTTTTCATTGATGTACTGTGTACTGTATTGTCCGTGTCGCAATATTCTCTTTCTTCTGTTCTCCTCTTTTGACCCCGTTTACCTTCCATAGTTAGAGTCAGCATGCCAGTAGTAGTGACTGGTCACTGGCACAACCAGTCACTTGTTTTACAAATCCTGGTCTGTCTCTGTCTGTCTGTCTGTGCAGGGTTGTTACTGAGTTATTGTGGTAGTTTGTTTTTACAGACTATTTCATGCAGCTGTCATTTAAACTAACTAGTGTTGGCAAAGAACACACAAAAGCGTCTTCGCATGTTAACATTTTAGATTCTAACATAGACCTTTCCACTGTAGATTTTTAGAAGTCTGTTGTTGAGAGTCATGTTATGCTTTGTTTTGTCACAGAGAACCACTTACTATGTAGACACATTTATGTTCCCCATAGCGTCTCTAGTATGAAATATCCTTTCCTTGCCATCTTGTGGAAATGATTCCAGTAATATGGTAGCCATAGTAATCAAAATATTTGTATCACAGCTGTAACTAATGCTGATAATCATGACTAATAAGTGGCCAGGAAAGGAAAATTATACACATTTTTCTTTTATATTAGCGTGTAAGTGTAGAAAAGTGTTATTGGTATTAATGAATCAATGTCTTCTATCTTGCCAGGTCCCCAAAGTCCTTGTGAGCGAACGGACTTGCGCATGGCTATAGTTGCAGATCACTTGGGACTCAGTTGGACAGGTTATAACCACTGCTTTATTTATTTCTCAAGCCCCCGAGCCTTGTTATTTACTGCCACCTTCAGGCTGACTGTCACCCAGAGCCTCTGATACTATACGCTGTTATAATGTAGCGTTAAGATACCAAGTTTAAAAGCCTTAAAAAGGAGAGAAATTTTAAATAATTTTAAATAAAGTGATGGATCAGTTAATGCTAAAAACCTTTTTTTTTAAAAAAAACAACAGGTTTTTTTTAAATCATTTTTATTGTGTATTTGTATTTATGTTTCCACTGTACATAAAATGATGGACAATTTGTTTATGGATAGTGCAAAAGAAAAACACTGAAGTTTGAGTATTCATGTTAGACTTGGTTTTTGTGTCTGAACAGAGCTGGCTCGGGAGATGAACTTCACAGTGGATGAGATCAATCACATTAGACTAGAGAACCCGAACTCTCTGACAGCACAGAGCTTCATGCTTCTTAAGAAATGGGTCAGTCGGGAAGGGAAAAACGCCACAAGTAAGATTATTTTTATGTCTATACATCTTTCTTTTTACTTACTCTTGTTTTTGTTTCCATTCTTTTTCAGTCATTCTGCTGTTGATTTACTCCTGAAAGTTCTTTTCAATTTTTCAATTCAATTCACTTCAATTCAGTTTTTTTTATATAGCACCAAATCACAACAATAGTTGCCTCAGGGTACTTTATATTGTCTGGTAAAGTCATATATTGTCATTCCTTATTATCGCCCCTCACTGAGGTTTTCTGCTTTCTTTTTGTTATTCTTTTCTCTTTTCTTTTGAAAAATCATCCAGATGCTCTAAAATATATTTGCTTAAAAAATTGGTTTCGCTATGACTAATCCAAACGTCTGCATAATTACATTTGCTCAAATTCCTGTTTCACTGTTTTAATCTCTCTTCTTCCTCAGCGGATGCCTTAACTGCAGTGCTGACCAAAGTCAATCGGATGGATATTGTGACTTTGCTGGAGGGGCCAATATTTGACTATGGTAACATTTCAGGCACAAGATGTTTTGCCGATGATAACGCTGTTTTCCGGGATCAGGCTGATGGTAAAGTTTAGCTTTGTCTAGCTGACCTCTTACCTCTCCCTGCTACCTTCTTTTTCTTGTGGCAATGCATGGATCACATATGTATCATACTAGTGAAACCAAAATCACAAGTGGTGATTTACACTCGGATTTAGAATTTGTGTGAACAGCTGGGTCTTACCATTCCTCAAAGACGTTCCTTTTGATTCTACAATATATTTGACACTGAAATTTCTGCTTTACATTTCAATTTCATTTTAATATTTAGTTTAAATGAAAACTTTTTTATATAGCACTTTATTACTTGCACTGATTTTAATTGGCTTCTGTTAAATTAACTCTCATTAAAATTAGATTACGCTCAGGGTAAATACTCTGCAAATCACTGCTGTATCCAGTTGTCACAGAAGATTAATATACATTGTTAATTTCCACTTCAAGTGCATGCTGCATGTTAACTATTGCTTTGAATGTTTTTCAGTGTGTGACTTATACAGAAATAATATAACCCTATAGTTTGCTTTTCTCTGCTGACTTAGTTTAGCTCTCCTAGTTCTCCTCCAGTTCCTCAGAGCCTTCCTTGGATAGATGAGAGAATGTCTTCCTCTGTGAAACCAGACTGCCTCTTCCTCCTCCTTCTGTTCCTCCTACCTCCCATCAACTCCCACCAGCAGTATCCACTGCTGATAACAGCACATAACTGCTCTTAACAAATGTAGAGTCATGTGTTGGCAAAATCCTCATATGCCTGCTCCTTATCCACCCATATTATTCACTCGTTGTCCTGTTGTGCAAGCATGTTTCACTGGGTTTAATGTAGTTTTTGTTTCTTTTTATCTCTCTTATTTTGTATCTTACCTTATTCCTTTCCCATAGTTTGCATAATTATCCCCTTAACTTCCGGAGGCCCTGAAGCAGCTTTTATCCTGCAAACACCCAGTCCTTTCTTTCCAACACCAACCCCAACACCTCCACCCACTCCCCTTACACCTTCAGCAGCGCTTTACTGTCACCCCTTCCCTTCACGCCGCTCGCCAAGTTATGAGTCGTCCATTTTGCTCAAAGACTTGGCACCTTCAGCTCCATTTCAGCCGGCAGAGTTCGACGTTTTCACCTCTCCCCATGCATGTCCCATCCCTCAGTGTCCCAATACTGACCCTCGTCAATTCCCAGCCTTTCCTTTCTCTCCCCTTACTTCTTCCCCAATCCCTCTTATTACCTCACCTTTACCTTCTTCACCTGCTCCTCATTCACCATCACCCTTTCTTTCTTCTGCTATATCTGTCCCAACATCTCCCACATCTGCTCCAGCTTCCCCCAGACTCAGCATACCTACTCTGGACCTTTTGCAAGCACTATCAGTCACTTGTCAAACGGGTGATACCTTCAAACCTACAACAACTCTGCCCAACCTCACCCTTGCACCCTGCTCTATGTCTCCTAGCCAATCTCAACCTATCACCATACCTGTGTCAGCCATCCACTCTACAGCCCCAGGCACAGTCCCACCTTCTGTCACTGCCTCCTCAAGCAAAGAGTCCCTAGTGACCCAGCTGGCCTCCTCTTTCCGCCCAGTGTCCCCACTTTCCATGTCTACCCTCCCTCCCATCTCTCCTTCAGGATCACGTTGTCCTAGCCCAAGTCCTTCTTCCCCGCCTCTCCGCTCATTGTCTCCCTGTCCTGTTTGTCAGTGTACTTGTGCACCCTCAGTCAATCCACCTCCCACTCAAACCCGCATCGATCCTTCTAATATGGAAATATACCTTTAGCATTTGCTATCCTTTATCTTGTTCTCCTTCCACTCCATGCTTCTTCCTACTAAAAACTCTCATCTGTCGTCTATCCCATGTGAGCATGTAACAGACCACCTTGGTAAATATTAGCCACATCACACACTATAAGGCCTCATGTCAGTAATAGTTCCCACTTTTAATATCTTACCTCACTGACAAAATCTTTAAAATAAGAGCAACTTCGACCAGCATTTGTGATTACTACTTATAAAATACTTCTTTATATATAGTAGGTTTAATATTAACCTAATCAGCCATAACATCAAAACCACCTGACCAATATTGTGGAGGTCCCAGTATTACAATCAGACAGCTCTAAACCATCAGGAGATCAACATGAAGCCTGTATTAGTGTCTTGTTCTGTCCAGATTGGACTTTTTCCAGGGCATCTCACTGATGTAGTTTTGTTAATTTTGAAGTTCATATCAACCTTTAGATTAATATTTTCCAGTAGAATATTGACTTCACCTCTCACAATACTTTTAATGTTGTGGCTGATCTGGTACAGTTAAATGTATGCATTCATTTTATTTTATTTATCTAGTATCCAGCCATCCTACCATCTTCCATCTTATACAAACACGCACACTGGATATTACAAATATGACATCTCTCATTTAATGGTTTCTCATTATTTTTGCTAGTTCCTACATTGTAGATACATACTGAAGACAAATATATGAAGCAATATATATGAAATTGTGTAGCAAAGAAGAAATTGATAATTAAGCCTAAATATGTCTTATATTTTAGATTCCTCAAAGTAGCCCCCCTTTGCTTTGTTGACAGCGCTGCAAACCCTTGGCCTTCTCTCAGTGAGCTTCATGATGTAGTCACCTGAAATAGTTTTCACTTCACAGGTCTGCCTTGTTAGGTTTCATTTGTGGGATTTCTTATCTTCTTAATGGGTTTGGGAACATCAGTTTTGTTATGCAGAAGTCAGGTTGGTACACCTGACAGCCCTATTTGACACCTGTTAGAATTCATATTATGGAAAGACCCAATTAGCTAAGTAAAGAGAAGCAACAGTTCATCATTACTTTAAGAACTAAAGGTCAGGCAGTTTGAAAAATTGCTAAAACGTATCTGTCCCCAAGTCCAGTTGCAAAAACCATCAAGTGCTACGACAAAAGTGGCTCACATGAGGACTGCCCCAGGTAAGGAAGACCAAGAGTCACCTCTGCTGCTGAGGATAAATTCATCCATGTCACCAACCTCAGAAATTGGAAGTTAACAGCACCTGAGATTGGAGCTCAGATATATAGCACACAGAGTTCCAGTAGCAGACACATCTGTACCGTACATCAGCTGTTCAGAGGAGACTTCGTGAATCAGGCCTTTATGGTCAAATAGCTGCTAAGAAACCACTACTAAGGAAAAGCAACAAGCAGAAGAGATTTGTTTGGGCCAAGAAACACAAGGAATGGACATTAGACCAGTGGAAATCTGTGCTTTGGTCTGATGAGTCCAGATTTGAAATCTTTGGTTCTATGTGCCGTGTCTTGGTGCGGCACAGAAAAGGTGAACGGATGGTCTCTGCATGCATGGTTCCAACCGTGAAGCATGGAGAAGGAGGTGTAATGGTGTGGGGGTGCTTTGCTGGTGGCATTGTTGGAGACCTATTCAAAATTGAAGGCACACTGAACCAGCATGGCTACCACAGCATCCTTCAGCAAGATGCCATCCCATCCGGTTTGCGTTTAGTTGGACCATCATTTATTTTTCAACAGGACAATGATCCCAAACACACCTTCAGGCTGTTTAAAGGCTATTTGACCAAGAAGGAGAGTGATGGAGCACTGCAACAGATGGCCTGGCCTCTACAGTCACTTGACCTAAACTCAGTCGAGATGGTTTGGGATGAAATGGACTGATGATCTCTGGGAACTCCTTCAAGACTGTTTGAAAACCATTTCAGGTGACTACCTCATGAAGCTCATCGAGAGAATCCCAAGAGCGTGCAAAGCAGTAATCTGTGCAAAGGGTGGCTATTTTGAAGAATCTAAAATATAAAACATGTTTTGAGTTATTTCACACTTTTTTTGTTTACTGCATAAGTCCATGTGTGTTCATTCATAGTGTTGATGCCTTCAGTGAGAATCTATAATTTAAAAAGTCATGAAAATAAAAAAACACAAACCTTCTGACAATTTTTAAATTGTTAGAAGGTTCAATAAATGCTCCATTAAAAAAAAATTCTGGCAATTAGTTCATGCTTCAGGCTTTAAAGGGTTAAATGTATCCTTATATAATCATCCTAGGTAACGGTTGTCTGGATACATGCTTTACATTTCATTCTCTGTGCTATTGTCCATGTCATGTGGTGTTATGGTGTGTTTTCGGGTGTTAAATTGTTTGTGTTATGCTTTGGTGTGTGTATGTCTGTACATTTTTCATCCTGTCACCTACAGATTATCAGAGCATTCTAGTGGAGCTGCAGTCCCCCGCCACACTGCACTCTGATCCCTACTTCCTGGAGTCTGACCTCCCCGTCACTCCCAATCCTTCCCTTGCACACCACCAACAACAGCACCATTACCCAGAACCAGACACACCTTTGCTTGCTGACACCCAGCCTCAGCCCTTGCCTTGGAGTCCAGAGTTAGAGCCCAGTAACAGAGAGCCAGAAAGCCCCCCTAGGAGCCCCCCTAGACCCTGTGAGCTCACCCTATCTGTCCCAGTATTTGAACTTCCTGATCCTATTCCCTATAAGCCCAGAAAGCCCCACATTGCCCTGAATGATCAGCTGCTATTGAGCGAGGAGGAGGACCGATCTTTTCAAGAAATGGAGCCGATCCACAGGCCCAGGTCACGGTCCTTTCCCACGATGTGTGAATTAGATGTTGATATGGCATACTCCACATCTTCCCCTTCATTATCATCAATTTCATCGATAACCCCTTCATCACCAGAGAGAGCACAAATTGGAGATGGAAGAGTGCAGCTGGATCCCTTTAATGGGGTAAAACAGGATGTTTGTTTGAAAAGAGGTGAAAAGGAAGTGACAGAAGAATTAGGGAACGTTGTTGAAGTGGCTGCAGCAGAGTTGGAAGAGGGAAGTGCATTAGTGGAAAAGTGGGTAGAGCGAGACTTAATTGAAAATGTGGAAAGAAAATGTGAGATGATAACAAAAGATAGGTCTAAACTAACAGAGGAAAATTTGGTGGAACAGAAAGAGGGGTTTGAAGAGGAAGAGAAAGATTTAGTGAGTAACCAGCAGGACAATATTCATGACGGGAATGAGGGGACAGCCTATGTTATGGAAGTGGTGAGAGATGTACAGCTGTTAAACGAGCAGTATGACCTGCCAGGAAATGGGCATGAAATGGAAAAAGCTTGTGCCACATTTGAAGCAGATAGCAGAAAAGTTGATGGAGACGCTGAGAAAGTTTTCTGTAAGGGTGATAGAATAGATGATACACATGAAGATATGCAGTTTAAGGATTCGACGTTGTGTGGCAGTGAAAAGGATATTTGCAGTACATCACAACAGGACGTCGAGGACCAGACTGTAGTCCGCCTCTCCCCTCAGGCCTGGGATGAGGCACTTGAGGAACTTCAGCTCAATGAAGAAGATGAGGAGGAGGAGGAGGATAAAGAGATCAAAGAAGAAGCATTAGGGTCTTTGTTGGAGGAGGTGAAGAACAAAGGTGGCTCAGAGGAAAAGGAGGAGAACGAAGAGATGACCAAGTCCAGGATTCAGGAGCTTTGTGATCACATTGAACATGCAGAACAAGACCTTTGTTCACTTTCAGGTTGGCACAGCGATTCATCCAGTGTCAATGTGGAACCACCAACGCCAGGACGCAGTGTCAGCTCAGACTTGCTCGACAGACGAGAAAGGTAAAATCTTTTTTTTTTTTAAAGTACAATGCTCAAATAAAATCACAAAATAACAATCTCTCAGACCACTTATTTGGTGTGTTGTTTTGTTTGTTTTTCCAACAGCCAAGAGAACTCTAGTGACTCCATCACCTCCTCATCTAGAGGAGAATCAGGGAGGTCCCGACAGAACGGCGACAACTCAAAGCACTCACCTCAGGACGGCTCATCTGAATCATCAAATGGCAGAAAAGAGGAGGGAACACTAATGTCAGAGAAAAAAGTCCAGGTAATACTAAAGACTGTTGTACCTGTAACAATGAGGGATGAAATCTTTGTTTATTTTCTGTACTAAAGTCCTATACTGCCTTCTATTTCTACAGGAGAAATACATAGCACATCTTACGCTAAAGAAAACTAAACTTCTCTATTATTCTAAAGTTGTCTTTCCTGATTCAGCCAACTATGGAGTTGAGGTGCATAAAGGGCAACAACAAAAATGTTTCAACCTGTAACTGTCCTACACATGTGCTTCTTTTTTCCACTTGACTCCCTCTGTTGTGTAACGTTTGTATAAAACCTCCCTCCACAGCGAGTTAGTGTAGATTCCGGTTCAGAGGAAGAACAGACAGTAACCACCAGAATCTTCAGACGCCGTCTAATTTTAAAGGTACACTGAAAGCCTGAAGCAGGTGCTGAGCTGGGTCGTGGTTTGGTTTGGTTTAGACTGGTCAGTCTGCTGTGATACGTAATAGTCTTGCTTGGTATAATGGTGGTTTATTCTATTTGTGTGTATGTGTGTGTCTAGATATGACTGTGCATATGTTTGTTTACAAGCTCTACTGACCCTGTCACAGTTCATAAATGAAAACTAATCCATCCTCTTTCTGTCAGGGTTATTATTCTCACTGGTGTTTTGTTTCAGTGTGGTGATGGTGATGGATTATTTTTAATCGTGTGTAAAGTGCTCAGGAAGTTGGCAAGCTTTTATTCACGTGCTAACCACAAATACCTACAGGGAGAAGAAGCAAAGAATATCCCAGGTGAGACCATGACAGAGGAACACTATATGGACCAAGATGGTAACCTCATCAGTAGAAAAGTAATGTGTACTTTAATTCCCATTTCCTATCCAGCTCTGAAATAATACCCATCATAGGGATGGTGTTTTTATACAATCAGGCACCATCAGATCTTTTCTTCTGCCTTGAGCAGGTCATAAGGAAGGTTATTCGCCGGGTGTCTACTCCCACACCAGAAAACCAAGGAGGTGACAGGTGGCACAAAGACCTTCACCACAGTCCCATTCTGCAAGAAGATGCATCAGAGGTCGCATGAAGATCCAATTAATCTACCATCTAGATGGGATTCCTTTGATATGCTGTTATTCTCCTGTCACAAGACATCAGTCTAAGAACTACTTGGGTGGGAGGTTAACAGCAAATACAATTTTTAGGCTTAAAGCTGCATATGACAGTGAATCACAGTGGGTCTGAAACAAAAGAAAATAACATTATAACTCATCTAAATAAGAAATTTGCAGTCACGGGCCACAATTCTGAGTCTCACTTTGAAAATTAAAGGCTCTTCTGAACCTTAAAGATTATTTAAGAAAGTAACACGTGGTAAAAGGTGCAGCTTTAAGTCAAAGAGGGAGGGAGTCAATTAGATTTAATCATCTTTTCCTCCAGTGAATTCAGTGAAGTTAATTCCTGTTAACACTGGATTAACTGGTTTGAGATGACTATTATCTCCATAGTGGGCAAATATATACAAATATCATATGAACTGCAACCTTGCATGTTGTGTTTTAACAGTGTGTGGTGTCTGTTTTGTTTGCATAACAAAGAAGATGCTGACTGCAGTTCTCCTGACTGTGTGGTGCTAATGGTCTTTTATAATGGTCTTTTAAAGCATTTAGCCAATTAGTCAAGAGTATGACTAATGAGTGCTAAGGAAACTCAATCAGCTCCTTTTGTTTCCAGCTCTGTCCATAATGGCATAATTATTCTTTTTCCAGGTGTCTACTTGGTGTGTGGTTTAAGTCCTAATTATAACTCTTGCAATGATGCTATTACTAACATTTGAGTTTTGCTTCTTCTTTCTCTTATTTTGATGTTTCAGGTGTGTTTTTGGTTGCAGTGGGGTTTTTTGTGTCTTTTTCTATGAGAAGATAAGAATACCATGTCTTATGTATACTTCTATGTGTGTTTTCCAGCATGGAGAGGGGTCAAGGAATAGCAGGCGGAAAGATGATAGAAGATCAGGGGATAAAAAGCACCACTCATAGGGATGGTTACTCTCTTCCAGGTACCGTAGTTTACTTTTTCACCTTAACACAGTCATCATAGTCCCCAGGCTTTAACTACTGTACATGTTGTACATATCCGTTGTTGTTCACTGACTTCCCACTAACTGAAGTCAGGTGCATTCAATAGCACCTAGTACCACCTAATGCCTTCACTTTTGTATTAGTGTATTCTGTGTTTTTATTTCTAGGCTTTACAGATTTTAAACTTTGAACAGAGCAAACTATCATTTTAGGCACCAAAAGTAACCTACCTGTCAATTAACCTATACCTTTTATTTATTAAGAAATGTAGTACAAAGTAATCAGTCGTGTTCAGTGTAACCACGTTTTACTATTAAGCTAGTAAATAGCAGATTTTGTTTGTTTCTTTTTTTAATAGTTATATATAAAGATGTCTTGTCGAGAGATACAGTCCTGTGAAAAACAAAGTACACCTGTACTGCTTTTGAAAGAAGGAAGAAGGTAAATAGCAGCCAGTTGCTGCTAATCAAATGCAGTTGATCAACTGATCATAAGTAAGTTGGATGTGGCATTAAGAGAAAGCCTGTCTTGTCTAAACAGAACAGGACACCACAGTTTAGGTTGTTGCATCTGAAGAAACCAGAAAGACTTAATGTGCAATGTCCTTTGGACAGTCAAGACCAAAGTGGAGATGTTTGGTTGTATTGCACAGACCCATATTTGGCAAAAATCAAAAGCAGCACATCAGTACTAACACTTGATACCAGCTGTCAAAGCGGAAGGGGGGTGATTTGGATTTGTTTTGCAGGCACAGGACCTGGGCACCTTACAGTCATTGGGTTGACCATGATCTCTGTATACCAGAGTCTCTGTATACCCTAGAGTCAAAAGCTTGGCTCAAATCATGCAAAAGGAGAATGATCCTGAAGAAAACTAGCAATTTTTTTTTTTACATACTCTCAATAAATACTATACTTTACATACTCTACAGCATCACATTTGGGAACCTCTGAAGCTGCTCAAACGTTTGCACAGTGCTGCACATGAGATGCCTGTATCCACAGTATTAAAGTAAATGAAATCATCAATTTAGTCAGATAGTTCAAACTCAACGCAAAGAAGAAACTGGCATGAGCTTGGTTATCCCCTGGCAGATTTTCTGTCCTCTGCGTTCCCTCAGTGTGAATGAATAGAAAACATTTACAAAGGGAACAGGGTTGAGGGTCACTACACACCTCAGCATTATATTGCCCCGCTAAAACCCTCCACGCCTTTTCTTTGTCCACTAAATCCCCAACTCACAACAGCTTTGTCCCATCCAAAAAGAGTTTGTTATCCCACTGGCCAGACTGTTAATCCCTACTGCTGCTCACCCGTATGTTTGCGGTGAATCATTCCATCTGCGCAGAAATGGGATGGCACTGCCATAAAATCTGCCAAAGAGTTTCTATGGTAACAGAGGTCACCATAACAACCCACGTACCATCAGGTCTTGTTAATGTGTTGTCATTTTGTCATACAAAGGAATGAAACACTTAAGAAAAACATGGTACACGTTACACCCTTTGAATTCAGTTTAATACTCAATATTAGGCAATGCACTGTCAGTTGTAATGTATTGTATGAGCTTCAAGAGGGTGACAGTAAATGTGCTGCAATATGCAACGTACTGTTTTGTCTTCCAGATACAGAGGAACCAAGTTCAACGTTTCCTGGGAACAAGTGTTCAGAGGGCTAAGACTTCAGGTTCGAGGACTTAAAGCAAGGTCCAGTGTGCCACTATCTGCTCTAAATAAATGGCTTTCACATGAAAGGAGTCAACCCTTCTGACTTGCGCATGAGCATGAAAAACTCACTCCCTGTCAATTAAAGGACCAAGAAGTTCTCACTTTCTGACTGTGGTGGACCAGTGGACATTGATCCTGCTTCCTGTTTTGTGTGAAACAATACGTGCCATCGGTCCACTGGTGTTGTGAGAGCTTTTTGGAGGAGCGTCGTTTGTTGCGAAAAACGACAGAGACTCCATTACTGACAACCACACAGGTGCAACTGTGACCAAAGATGGCACAAGAGCTCAATGCACATGGTGGGTGAAAAGAATGAGGTAGACACAATAACACACACAAGAAAAATCGAATGGACACTTCTAATCCAACTTCAACACTCGCCTTATAGTTTTTTCTTGAACCCATTGTTGTCAGGATGTAAATTGTTTGGGGGTTTTTTTCCTTCCTTTTTAAAACTTAAACACAACTAACACAAAAGCTTTTTTTCCTGTATATAAAATTATAATGTGTATAATTCTTTTAAATCGAATGGACAAGTTGCTGGTTGCGAACGCACTGAGGAGAGTGACCTTTTCAAGTGCTTTCAAAATTTACTGAAACGATTTCACTTTTAAAGATTTGAGTGTAACTTCACGGGTTCTTGTATAATTAATTACTAGAACAGGTATAATGTTTGTACATGAAAAAGCTGGTTTGATTTTAACAGAAGAAATTTCCAGAAAAAAAATCTAATTTCTGTAATTCCCAAAGTGGGAATGGATCTAATCCTGCAAAAAAAAGGAGCTTTTCAGAGTACTCATATTTTCATGCATGCTGTTCACATTATTTTAATTACAATTTTTACAGGTTTGCAAAACACTGTATTCAAATGAATCCCTTTATCACTATACACATATAGCCCTGACGTTTGTCACCGATTTTATATTTCAAATTGAAAAAGGATACCATTAAAGCTTTTATCATGTTGGGGTGAGGATGAAAAAAAATCTCTAGCTTCTTGAGGATGTGATGTCTTGTCTGTCTGTGTAAAACTGGAGGGCAGCTTCTGCTACAGGAACGAAGTAATCAGAATGTAAATGCTAGTAGGCTGGCTCGCTGTAAAATTATACTTGTATTGTGCATATTGGCTATAAGGTTTAGGAGTCTCTGTACACTGTAAGACTGTTTGTAAACATTTAGCAGTGTTTCAGTTTGGTTTTCTAATGGCTGCTGTGGTATTAAAGGAAAACTGGGGCATTTCACTTTGGATTCTTTGGTGAAGTATTTCCTTAATTTAAAACCTACTCACATTAAGGACACATAAAGACATTGTTTGATTGTAGCTCCAAATAGCATATTGTATGACAAAACACTGGATGGTCAGAACCAGTTATTTAAGCATTAAATAAATTGTGTTTTAACTCTGAAACTGTGTGATCTCTTTAGGCTTGAGAGTCTGTATATGCAGTGTCGAATAGAATTGTTTTCACTAGCTCACTGACAAAGTTTTATTTTACACACTTTACATGACATTAGGAATTTATGTATCAGTTTTCATTAGATGCCCATGTAGTTAAAGTGTGGTGTTCTACTGCTGCGATGGCTCAGTATGCTGATGTCTATGCTGTGGACATGAAAACTATGTAACTTTTTTTTTTTCAGTTTTTTTGGGTGGGAGTATTAAAGGAAGTCAGATAGGGTGCTGTACCACATCCCCTTGTACTACTATGTCAATCAGGGGGTAGAGGATACTTTGATATGGTTGAAGTATCAATTTTGTTAATTTTCTTTGATATGTGTTTTCACCTGAGCAGATTTTTTGATGTACAATTCTTACTAACAGAGTGAAGCCATTGAAATATAACTATTCTAGCACTTTGGTTATTCAAGGTCTTTTAGAGGCTATAACAGCAATGATGCCATCACAAATGTTTCAAACGTCTTTAAAAAAAAATCAACCTAAAAACTCCAAAAAAAAAATACAATAAAATGCAGTGATTTTGCAGTACAGTTGTTTCTCTTCTTATCTTTGTGTCCTTGAATGTTTTTTCTTTAATTATTATTATTATGTAAGTTGCACAATGGCAGTGATCAGTAGTGATGTCGTGGGAGTTACTGCCAAAATTATGTGTTTCTCCTCACCTAAGTGTCCTTGAGCGCCAGGCAGCAACACTTTCTCCTTCCAGCTGATGGAAAAAATGTAAACTATACCGTAGACATTTCATAGCACCATCTCTCATGCCTTAGCCTTATGATTTTTTTAACATAATAAAGCTCAAGTTCAATATTGGATGCCAAAGATGGTAAGATAATGCAGTAGCAATAACATTAACACATGTTAGTTCCTACATTAAAACACAATAAAGGTAAAATGAGTAACACTGATGACTTTCTTACAGTGCAATTCATATGGATCTTACTTTGTAACAATATTTAGTTTGATGTACCACTCGTCTAAATGCTGTTGAAGACCGGGCACATCCCAGTCCCTGAAGATAATGGCCACAGCAAAAAACCTGCAAGCCCAGGGTCTTTGTCAGTACCCTGTTTGGACAGACCTGTTTTGGCATGTGAGGAAACCACACATTTGTAGGCAGATGGTTTTAATGTTGTTGCTAAAAGACATAAATGCCAGTGAGTTTGTCCAGTAAGCATGATCATCTTTAATACGTGGTGGAACACAAAAGAAAAACACTGTGCCGCCTACTGATTCATTAGTGTTTAAAGCAGTTCTTCCCACATCATCCTGTGACCATGACTACAGTTGCAAGATTATCCCAAGAAAACGCACAACCTGCTACACCTACTTTATGCTTCTTTGATTTAAAGATGAGCATTGTTTAAAATAATCCACAGATTACATTAGACACCACTGCTGTGGAGCAAGCTGAAAAATCAACCCCCCTCTTTGTAATGAAATGTGACACAGAACCTGGAGCTTCCATGTATCTGGGATGAGATTCGCCTTTTTTTGGGGGGGGGGGGGCTTTATAAAAACCTGTTTGGGTACAATTAGGTCTCTCGTCCACTGCATACTGGCTAATTCTTCTCTGGATCTTCAGCGATGGATCCACAATGGAGGATTTCCATTGCAGAATATAGCAAATTCTCTCATTGGAAAAAATGACCTTCACCTTACATTTAAATTTTTACATTTTTGTTCACTATCTGAGTTGACTAACTCTCACCATGGACTTATTGTGTGAGGGCATTTTGGCTGGTGGGAGGACGTGGGTCTCCGCTTTGCTGTGTGTATCTGTAGAATGGACATAACAGGTTCGTTTTAGTTTGTAGTGTTGGCTTGGCAATTTTCCCTTAAAAAAAACATGAGCAACACTGACAATGTAAGGCATGATTGGTCTGTATGGACCATTTTCTGAAAGCCTGAACATAAAAAGATGTATACGGTGCTGTGAAAAAATCTTTGCCCCATTCCTGAATTCTTATCTTTTTGCACAATCCTCACACTTAAGTGTTTCAGAAAATCAAACAGATTTTAATGTTAAAAAGATAACCTGAGTGAACACAAAGTGCAGTTATTAAACGATGATTTCATTTATTAAGGAGCTACAGAAACTCAAAGACGCAGGCGAAACAAAGTCATTGCCATCTATCAGTCTGGAAATGTTCACAATGCCATTTCTAAGGTTTGGGACTCCATTGAACCACAGTGAGAGCTGACATCCACAGATAGAGAAAACTTGGGACAGTAGTGCATCTTCCCAGGAATTGGGCAAATTACCAGAATTTGCTGAATCGATGACTCAACCATGTCATCATAAAAGAACCAGAACAACACCTAAGGAACTTCTGGAAGGTCTTATCTCATTACAACTCTGCCAGAAAATCCAGAAGGAGAATGTCTGGCCATCAGTCCATGCACTTGCACATGGACTTGGGTTATACAGAAGAACAATGATCCAAAATACACCAGCAAGTCCACCTCTTAATGGCTCCAAAAAACACAATGAGAGTTTTGGAGCAGCCTAGTCAAAATCTGGAATTAAATCTGATCGAGATACTTCGGCACTACTCTGGTTATCTTTGTCTAATATTAAAGCATATTTGATGATCTGAAACATGTAAGAGTGAAAAATATACAAAAAGAAAGAAATCCAGAAGGCCGGGAAATATTATTTCACAGTATTGTATAAAATGAGCATAATGTCATATTGTCAACACAACAGCTGACAAGTAAACACTGTATAAGTAGGGTCATACAGTGTTTACTTGAAGGATGTTGTCGTGTTAGGCATAAAACGTGGTTTCGGGTGCGGTGTTGTGTCTTAAGTTTCCCATTTTGCTGGCAATCCTGTCTCGGATTGGGTTTCCAAAGATGCATTTCATGTTATGGGTGTATTAGGTAGTACTGGAGACATCCTGCTGGGGGTGCTATACCGTTAGGCGGGTGCAAGGTCACGCAGTGTACCATTCTGCTGTCTGCGCTCCTCAAACGCTGCAGCTGCCGTCGTCTTCTCTTCTCCACCACACACACCGTCGCACAGCCATGGCGGACAGCGCAAGCGAGAGCGACACCGATGGAGCGGGGAGCAGCTCCGCCACCCCGATGTCGTCCTCCGCTTCAAATTCGGGGAAACCGAGCATAGTCATTTCACAGTTTCGTTTGGAGGAACTGACCAACCGACTGGCCTCGTTACAGCAGGAGAATAAAGTTCTTAAAATTGAGCTGGAAACATTTAAACTCAAGTGCAAAGCCCTGCAGGAGGAGAATCGGGACCTCCGCAAAGCTAGCGTCACCATTGTGAGTAATGTTAGCTAGCTAACTAGCGAGATGCTATCCCCACCCCGTTTGCTGTTTTGCATTTGACAGAGTAAGTTAGCGCTAGCGAGTGTTGTTTGATAAAAGCTGAATGAGTGCTACGTGGAAATGTTACCTGAATTCGGCCCTAATTCTTTGCTGTTATGTTAGCCCTACTAACATTAGCTACCTGCTAATTTAGCCAGCGGGACAACGTCTGCTAGATGGTCGAGCTGCGATATCTTGCTACTTTGCTTTGTGTTATTTTGTGTTGCTAATCGTGGCTAACGTTAGATGAACTGCTAACGTCAACCAGAAAAAAACGTCAAAAAATTGGGTGGGCACCTCACGATGCGAGTTAACAGATTGATTGTAGATGTGTGGTCAGCTGATTACTCACTGCTCGGCATTGTCACCACGCTATGGCCAACATGGATATGGTAACTGAGTGAAAATAAATAGCCCACCAGAAGCCTTGGCACCGACTGATGCGTCATATTTCTTCATGCTCGGTTAATCAGTCCTAGCTTCATAAAAATGTGTAACCGATCTGCTTGATAGATGGGAAATATGTAGGCCAAACTTAGCGAGCTAGCTAAATGCCACGCTCTAAATGTCTGCAAACCCAACCACACTTTCACACTGTCCACCCTCTGTGTAAATTTGTGAAGCTTAACTAGCTGTTTGGCTTTTTATAATCCGCGCTGTTTTTCATAACGGCCAACGAAGCAGAATTTATTTTTGAGGTCAGGAGAGATAAGGGATGGGTGAATTTGAGAGTGGCAAGGACGCATGTATCACAAGCAGTGTAATGCTAGCTGTCCCAACACATTTCTTTATCCGCCCCCCCAGCCCATGTTTCTCTCAGTCACCCATTGCTGCAATATCTCTTGAGTCATTTGAAAGAATTATGCTTCCTCTTTGGCTGGCAAGCATCACTGCAGCAGTCTTTAGTTGATTGATGCATGTTTCCCCTCACTGTCAGTAAGTTATAGTTTAATCAGGATAAAGGTGAAAACAGTGTGATGTGCCAGAAGCAAGAGTTTATGTCACTGATATCTCTTCTGTCGCTGTGTCTTTTTGTGTTTTCTGTCCCACAGCAAGCGAGAGCCGAACAGGAGGAAGAATTTATCAGTAACACCTTGTTCAAGAAAATCCAGGCTCTTCAGAAGGAGAAGGAAACCTTGGCAGTCAACTATGAGAAGGAGGAAGAATTCCTCACCAATGAACTGTCAAGGAAACTCATGCAAGTGAGTGATAGAAACAAGATTGGATGGGGAGGTGCACACTTTTAATGCACATTTTGGAGTTCTTTACGCTACACAGAGTGGAGAGTAGTGTAACATTAGTTTAAAGTTTTCCCCTGTTATCTTACTGATCACAAACGTCAGTGTGGTATATCGTTTCTTCATGCTGTGTTATGCAAATTTCTTAAGTATTGTTGCTCTTGTTCACGATGTGCGGGGTGCTTGTCTATGCACACAGCAGCTAGTGCATTATCATCAACTGCAATTCTACTTGCCTGAAGCCTGGAAAAGCTCAAGATGACTTCACTGCAGCTGCTAGCACGTCTAAATGACTCTCAAATTACTCTCCTCCTGTTGTCGGTTATTTGGTTCAGTCTGTTTTCCACATCGTATTTTCCCAACTACAGAGCATATAGCACTCGCTCTCATATTTTGAATAGATAGCTGTAGGGTGACTAATGGTTTGTTGATATCTAAAGAAGTAGGGCTGTGAAAGAGATGCATGCAAATGTCTTAGCAAAACCCGCTTAAGGTCATACAGATCTACTTATTTGGGCTTTTTTTATATTCCTATCTTAGAATTTAACATGCAACAGACTTGTATCTGCCTATGTCGGTAGATTAGTTGCTTAAAAATTGGGGCGACAGATGG